ATTAGAAGGTAGATTTTGTTTGTTTTATATAATGTTTTTTAAATCCCTCTTAATCCCTAAGAGACTAGTCCAGTTCTTGAAGTCTTCATGTCAGGGGGAATGTTTAGGTGTAGAGTGTTTGGGACACACAGGCCTCAACTTTACTTTATCTAGAGCTACCTTTAGCTGCACTTGTATGCTTTACCTAGGTTATCGGTCTGTTCTTCTGTGTTAAGATTTGGAATAAAGGCAAGGACAAAATAACTTTTTCTCACTCCATTGTCGTTTTTATTCTTTCCTCTGCCATTTCTGCTTGACACTTCTCTGAAATTCCTCTTCTTTGCCCAATGCAGTGATGATAGGAAGATTTCAGGAAGGTTAACAGGGCCTTCTTTTCCTCCTCCTCCTCCTCTTCTTCTTTTTTTTTTTTTTTTTGTGTGTGTGTGTTTTTTGAGACAAGGCCTCACTCTGTCACTCAGGTTGGAGTGCAGGGGTGTGATCATAGCTCACTGCAACCTTGAATTCCTGGGCTGCAACAGTCCTTCTGCCTCAGCCTCCCAAGTAGCTAGGTGTACAGGCATGCACCACCATGGCCAGCTAATTATTGATTGATTGATTGATTGATTGATTCATTCATTCATTATAGAGATGGGGTCTTGTTTTGTTACCCAGGCTAGTTTTGAACTGGCCTTTCTTCAGGGGATCCTCCCACTTAGCCTCCCAAAGTGCTAAGATTACAGGCATCAGCCACCGCCTTCAGCCAAACAGGGTCTTTTAAATAATCTTTCAACAATTAAAAATGATTATTTGCCTATGCCAGTGGAGAAAAAACAGCTTCATTCAAGACATGTTTACATGCACAACTTCTCTGAGAGTAGCTGTCAACTCCTGATACTTCCTTCGGGTTACCAAGAATTGTGCAGGTTTTGGGCACCTGTCTGACTGGCTTAGAGCCTTCTGGGGGAAATAGTTCACTGGAAACATGATCTGCCTTCATTCTTCCTGGTTCCATACCTTCCTGCACATGGATTGTGTAGTTCCTTTACAGATAGATTAGGGTTGTTCTGAGATTGCTTTATATTCTTTGTCACAGTGAATTTAGCACCTAAATTAAAGCCTTTTCTCCTTTTTGTTAACAAAACTCCTTGTAACCATATCATTATGTTTCTAAAATTAGTTCTAAAATTTTGGAGTTTAGATATGACCATATTGATTAATATTAAAAGTCGACATTTGGTTGTGTGTTTCTTTGCCGACTCCCATATAGCCCAGTTCATCCTGGAAGACAGTAGTTTTATGATTGTTTTGGCTACTTATTTGCATTATTTATTTTTAACATATTAGTACTTTGTTGTTGTTGTTGTTTGAGTCTCACTCTGAAGTGCAGTGGTGAGATCTCAGCTCACAGCAACCTCCGCCTGCCCAGTTCAAGCAATTTTCCTGCCTCAGCCTCCTAAGTAACTGGTATTACACCACCACACCAGGCTTATTTTTGTATTTTTAGTAGAGACGGGTTTTCACCATGTTGGCCAGGCTGTTCTCGAACTCTTGACCTCAGGTGATCCATCTGCCTCAGCCTCCCAAAGTGCGGGATTGCAGGCTTGAGCCACTGCGCCCTGTCACATTTTGAATTTAAGCAGATGTAAACTGGTGTTATACTATAGGAGGTTTCAGTGCACAGTTACTTTAGATAATATTGATTAGAAAGATGTTTAATGGCTTATTTGTGGCTTTTTTTGGTTTAAAATAATTTTATTTTTTATTTTTGTAAAGATGGGGTATCACTCTGTTGCCCTGGCTGGTCTTGAACTCCTGGCCTCATCCTGCCTGAAAGTGCTGAGATTATAGGCGAGAGCCATTGTGCCTGGCTCTCATTTGTTCATTGAAGGGGTTGGATTAGGTAACATTTCTTCCAATTTTAAAATTATATAAATGGGATTAAGAAGGACTCCAAAGCAATATAGAAAAAGTGTGAATTACTAAATGAAAACCAAGTTATTACAACTTTGTAAACTATGCAAGTAACTGATACTAGATGACGTGAAGAAATGAAAATGGCAGTGTTGGGATTGTGAACAAATTTTGTTTTTTTCAAAAAGTCTTTTGGGAAACTTAGTAATTCTTTAACTGACTTATTTTTGCTTAACTAAAGGGAACATCATTACAAGAGTAGCCTTTGAGGCCTGAGACCAGAGCTGGGATAGACTGGCCAAGTTCTTAAAGAAAACGGTTGTAACTAGCAGAGTCAGGAGGGAAATGGAGAGTAATTAGTGCAGCAGTAATACTTGTGCCTTCAGGCTCAGAATGTAAGCATGATGCTGATAATAGCTAACCTGGACTGCTTGCCATGTGCCAGGCTCTTTGCCAAGCACTTTCCTTTCATTGACTGGTTAGTTTGCCCTACAGTCCCATTCACTTACCCCTCTCTGGTAAGCCGTGGTGCTAGGAATGGAATCAGAATCTGTCTGCTTAAACCTCACAAGTGTGTACACTTTACAGTGATCCATTTATACCTGCCTGGCTGGCAAAACGGTCCACAACTGCCTCCTTAGTGGCTGGATCCCTGCTGGCTCTGCCTCGGATGGAAATGCTTTTGCCTTCTCTGCTCAGTGATCAGCTTAGAGTGCTAGGACAGAACAGCCCAGCTTCAAGGGTGAAACCTAATGCTGAAGAATTCACAGCCTCACCTAGTGTGTCTTCTTACCCCAGCTCTGGGCCACTCACTTCTTGCTTGTCCCTGTTTACTTTGTCCCATTGTTGCCAACACTGGTAAATTTTTGTTTCATGAGCTGAGGGAGGAGGACAGCTATCGGAACTACTTTGGTCACCCGTTTAAATGTCTGAAGGTACAGCCTAGGACAAAGTCCACACCTGTCACACCCTTTTAGGATGTTGTCTTTTCTCCTCTGATAACTCTGTTTGTTGACCTTCTCTTACTTCCAGTCTACCAGGAGACTAAACTATTTCCCAGAAAGGCCTTTTTAACTTTTTAGTGTTATTGTGTACCTGCCATTATTACATCATTTTAATTGTCAACTTGTACCTTGAGTTTATGGACTAAATCCAAAATGAGGAGCAAAATAGCTTTCTGGTAGATGTCATTTGATGATCGCATGATCATTTTACACATTTGCCTAATTTGCTTCCTTGGAGCCAGTTCCCTTCCTGGGAACTCAGTGAAGCTCATGCAATCACAGAAAAGAGGCTGATCTTTTACCCAAGGGTCCATCCTGAGGGAAAGCCTCTAATGCTTGGTATAGGAGCAAATAGATTTGTAAAACAGAATCTGTTTAATGTACCCCAGTCAAACATTCTACGCACAACACCTACCTCGCAGTACACCCTGAAATAGCAAACACATCATAGGTATTTTTTCAATCAAAACATGCATTTTTAGCCGGGAACTGTGGCTCATGCCTATAATCCCAGCTACTCGGGAGGCTAAGGCATAAGAATTGCTTGAACCCAGGAAGTGGAGGTTGTAGCGAGCTGAGACTGCGCCACTGTAGTCCAGCCTAGGCGACAAAGTGAAACTGTCTCAAAAAAATAAAATTTAAAAAATTAGTAAAATAGGCTGGGCATGGTCACTCATGCCTGTAATCCTAGCACTTTGGGAGGCCAAGCTGGGTGGATCACGAGTTCAGTAGTTCAAGACCAGCCTGGCTAACATAGTGAAACTCCTTCTCTACTAAAAATACAAAAAATTAGCCAGGTGTGGTGGCGGGCACCTGTAATCCCAGCTAGGAGAGGAGGAGGCTGAGGCAGGAGAATTGCTTGAACACGGGAGGCAGGAGGATGCAGCGAGCTGAGATTGTGCCGCTGCACTCTAGCCTGGGAGACAGTGTGAAACTTCATCTCCAAAAAAAGTGAAATAGGCCAGACATGGTGGCTCATGTCTGTAATCCCAGCAGTTTGGGAGGCCGAGGGGGGCGGATCACCTGAGGTCAGGAGCTCAAGAGCATCCTGGTCAACATGGCGAAACCCTGTGTCTACTAAAATTACAAAATTAGCTGGGCATGGCAGTGGGCGCCTGTAATCCCAGCTATTTGGGAGGCTTAGTCAGGAGAATCGCTTGAACCCGAGAGTTGGAGATTCCAGTGAGCTGAGATCGTGCCATTGCACTCCAGCCTGGGCAACAAGAGTGAAACCCCATCTCAAAAAAAAAAAAGTAAAATAAAATAAAAACACATTTTCTTAGCCTCTAAGTCAGGGCATTGAAATGTGAAAGTTTCACAGTTTCCTTTTAAACTAAATTTGGGCCAGGTGTGGCAGCTCATGCCTATAATCCCAGCACTTTGGGAGGCCGAGGCAGGTGGATCACCTGAGGTCAGGAGTTCAAGACCAGCCTGGCCAACATGGCGAAACCCCATCTCTACTAAAAATACATAAAATTAGCCGGGTGTGGTAGCGGGTGCCTGTAATTCCAGCTACTCCAGAGGCTGAGGCAGGACAATCGCTTGAACCCAGGAGGCGGAGGTTGCAGTGAGCCGAGATTGTGCCACTGCACTCCAGCCTGGGTGAAAAGAGCAAAACTTTGCCTCAAAAAAATAAACTAAAAAACTATACATACAGAAAAAGAAGGAAAAAAGCACTAAATTTGGCTTTGTTTTGTTAAATCTTAAACGTCTGACATTCAATATAGTCTTATTAAGCCTAGATTTCATTCTTGAGATTGAATTTTGATTGCCTTTGATTTAGTTTGTTTTCTGACTCCTTTCATTCTTTAGCTTTTAAACTTTCTGCTTTAACAGTCTCAAGATAAGAGTTGCTACATCCCCGTCTTACTCATTTTTGAAGCTTTTGACAGCAGGGGGTGGGTTCAGTGTCAAGGAGGGCTGCTCCCCCGCCCCCCTCCCCCGCACTAATTTTGTGCTCTTTAGTTTCCCACAGTCAAATCACTCGCCTCTACAGCCGGTTCACCAGCCTGGACAAAGGAGAGAACGGGACTCTCAGGTAGGCAGTGTTTTTATTTTCTTCACAGAAACCAGAAACTCTCTGGCAGTGTCTGCATGGCTGCCTTTATCCCCAGGGCAGACAGGATAGTCATCCAGCATGCAGATAGCAGGGACCATTTCTCTACTGGTCTTTGAGCATCATTGATCCACAAGGGAATTAAATCAACAAAACAGTGACAATGAAGAGTATTACCGGGTCCCTGTTGGTCTATTCCAACTCCCCTTAATTTAGGTGGCCATTGTTCTAATCCTAGGAATGTATTTTCAAGATTTCAACTCTCTCAGCTTACATTTTCCCATAATCCTTTCCCAAACATTGGCTTTTAGGAAGTTGACCCATAGCAATCCCAGGTTGTCTAGGTTTTTTGTCTTCTCTGATTTCCCAACTCATAACCCTAAGGTGCATCATGTATATTAATGTTGGACAGAATGGTCAATATTTTAGTCTAGAGCCGTGGTTCTCATCTGAGAGCCATTTTGCCACCTGGGGCAAAATGTCTGGAAACATATTTAATTGTCATGACTGGAGAACACCACTAGTGTCTGGTGGGTTGTGGCCAGAGATGCTGCTAAACATCCTGCAAAGCACAGGACAGCCCCCATGACAAAGAATTATTCTGGTCTAGATGTCAGCAGTGCCAAAATTGAGAAACTTTGGTCTGGGTAAGTACATGATATCAGAGTGATGTAATGTTATACTGTTTTATGTTTGTAATTGTCTTAACATAGTCAAAATTTTGTATCATTATCTCCCACGCTAACTCTCAGTAGCAACCTTATTTATACTGTGGTTCTTCATCTTTGATTAACTAGTGTGTATTGAAGCTGTTTGCCTTCCTTTTGGCTGGCATCAGGCAGTTTAGGACTTCTTTAGAAAGCTTCCAGCACAGGTGTTGGATGTAGCATAAAGGGGGAAGGAATACAGTTGCTAAGCCTTTGGACATAGTCATCACCCCAAATGGAAACCCCATACTCATTAAGTATGAGTTTAAGCATATCAATTAAGCATACCTATTTCCTGCTTCTGTCATCCCCTGACAATCAGAAATCTAACTTCTTTTTCTCTCTGGATAATTCATATAAATGGATTTATGTGGCCTTCTTATAACTGACTGCTTCCACTTAACATGCTGTTTTCAAGGTTCATCCATGTTGTAACATGTACCAGTACTTCATTCCTTTTTATGGCTGAATAAATAGTCCATCATATGGATATGCCGAATTTGTGCATCCATTCAGCAGTTGGTAAACATTTGCATTTACACCTTTTGAGTACTGTGAATAGTGTTGCTTTGAAGATTTTTGGGTACACATATGTTTTAATTTCTCTTGGACATATACCTACAAGTGGAATTGTGGGTCATATAGATTGTCTTTTCACTCTCTTTATAGTGTTCTTTGAAGTACAACAGTTTTTAATTTTGATGAAGTTTAGTTTCTTTAATATTTCTTTTGGTGCTTGTGCTTTTGGTATCATATATAAGAAACCATTTTCAAATCTAGTGTCCCAAAGCCTTAGCCCTATATTTTCTTGTAAGGGCTTTATAGTTTTAGCTATTACATTTGGGTCTTTGGATTTATATTGAGTTGGTTTTGTATATGGTGTGAGAGAAGAGGCTAACCTCATTTTTTTTGCATGTGGATATCCACTTGTCCCAGCATCATTCGTTGAAGACACTTAGAAAACTTTGTGAATTTGCACTTGAAAAATAACTGGACTAGAAATCTCTATTTGTGATTTCAGGTCCAAAACTTAAAAATTCCTTTGAGTATATATTTTCCTCATTAATTCAGACTTAACCACCATAAAGTATTATAATACTTTATTATATATAGTAAAGATATATATAATTCACGTTCTGAATTCTTTTCTTCTCTGTAGAAAGTGGGTGGTTTCTAAATGTGTGTGTTTTTATCATGTTTGCTGTATGCTGGAAAACGGTGGAAAAGTTTTTTTTTTTATGAGCTATTTCTTGTTAGAAAGGTTGAACACTTTCCAGGTGTCAGTGTTACCTGCTCCTTAAGATCTAAGTAAGGGCCAGATGTGGTGGTTTATGCCTGCCTGTAATCCAGCACTTGGAAGGCCAAGGCAGGTGGATCACTTGAGGCCAGGAGTTTAAGACCAGCCTGCCCGACATGGCAAAACACCATCTTTACTAAAAATATAAAAGTTAGCTGGGTATGGTGGTGCATGCCTGGAATTCCAGCTACTTGGGAAGTTGAGGCAGGAAAATTGGCCTGGTGAAATGGCTCATGCCTTTAATGCCAGCACTTTGGGAGGCTGAGGCGGGTAAATCACCTGAGGTCAGGAGTTTGAGACCAGCCTGGCAAACATGGTGAAACCCCCATGGAACACTAAAATTAGCCCCCCAGGAACACCAATAAGGACTAATTATTAGTGTTCCTGGGAGTCTAATTTTGTATTTTTGTTTCTACTAAAAATACAAAAATTAGCTGGGCGTGGTGACATGTGCCTATAATCTCAGCTACTCAGGAGGCTCAGGCAGGAGAATCAGCTGAGCCCGGGAGGTGGAGGTTTGCAGTGAACCGAGATTGTGCCACTGCATTCCAGCCTGGGTGAGAGAGTGAGACTTTGTCGCAAAAAAAAAAAAAAACAAGAAAAGAAAAGGGAAAAAAAAAAAACAATGTTAGCTGGGAGTGGTGACCCATGCCTGTAATTCTGAGGCTGGAGAATCGCTTGAACCTGGGAGGAGGGGATTGCAGTGAGCCAAGATCATGTCATTGCACTCCAGCCTGGGAAACAAGAGGGAAAATTTGTCTCAAAAAAAGAAATGAAAAGAAACCTCACCTGGATTTTGTTCCTATTTTATAAACTATTTCCTCTCCTCTTTATTTTTATTGATCGATTGATTGAGATAGGGTCTCACTCTATTACACAGGCTAGAGTGCAATAGTGCAATCTCAGCTCACTGTAACCTCTACCTCCCAGGCGCAAGGGATCCCGGCTACTGTAGTCCCAGCTACTTGGCTAGTTTTTGTATTTTTTTGTGGAGATGGGGCTTCACGATGTTTCTCAGGCTGGTCTTGGCCTCCTGAGCTCAAGGAATCCACCTGCCTTGGCCTCCCAAAGCGTTGGGATTACAGGTGTGAGCCTCCACACCTGGCCTCTTTATTTCTTCTTTATGGCATTTCTGTTGGTTGGCTGTTGGACCACCATGGCTCAACTTTTGTATTTTCTGGCTCTTTGACGTTTCCTTTGTTTTCTGCAAGATATTATTGAATTTATGTTTGAATCCTTTTGATGCACTTTTTATTTTTTTAAGTCCACAATCATATTCTTAATTTATAAGAACCTTTCTTGTTCTCTGACCTCTGCTGTATCATAGTAGCTTATTTTTGTTTTACAGGTGCAAAAACTTATGAAATGTCTACTAGATTACTTATTAGATTCCTTATTAGTGCTTATTAGTCCTTATTAGTGTTCCTGGGGGGCGCTAATCTCCCATACATGGCTGAAGCCCTGCTCAGGTAGATCTTTCAGTTTCTTTCTGTAACAGTTCTCCATTATATTGTTTTTTAATCTTGAGATGGGTGCTGGGAGCAGTGGGCAGATGCCCCCCCCCTTTTTTTTTTGAGATGGAGTCTCCCTCTGTTGCCTAGGCTGGAGTGCAGTGGTGCAATCTCAGCTCACTGCAACCTCCACCTCCTGGGTTCAAGCGATTCTCCTGCCTCAGCTTCCTGAGTATCTGGGACTACAGGTGTGCACCATCATCCCCGACTAATTTTTGTATTTTTAGTAGAGATGGGCTTTCACCATATTGGCCAGACTGGTCTTGAACTCCTGACCTCAGGGAATCTGCCTGCCTCGACTTCCCGAAGTGCTGGGATTACAGGTTTGAACCAGCTTGCCCAGCTATATGATCCATTTAATTTAAAATACCGATTAAATAGCTAATGGAAATTATTGTCATTGCAGTGTTAATAAATATATTGTACCATATGATTAACCTCTGTCATACTACTTACACATGGAAAGCTGTGTTTTTTGAATTGACTGTGTTCTAGTGGGTATGTCCTATTAACAGATTTTAATCTCTTCATTATGTAAATTATCTAAAGCAACAACCTGTGGGTGCTTGAGATAGAAGTTACCTGTGAGGCTGAATCTCTATGTAAGAGAAGAGACTTGTGCAGTGAAGTCGAGCAGTGTAGAGGGATGGCATGTCTGGTTACTAACAGTCTCAAAACTCTGGTTTTGGCTGGGTGCAGTGGCTCACACCTGTACTCCTAGCTACTCGGGAGGCTGAGGCAGAAGAATTGCTTGAACCTAGGAGGTGGAGATTGCAGTGAGCTGAGGTTGTGCCACTGTACTCCAGGCTGGGCAACAAGAGCGAAGCTCCATCTCAAAACAAAAGCAAAAAAAAACTCTGGATTTTCAGAGCATCCCTGTGCCTTGAATGTCTGGAAAACCACTCCCCATTGGGAATTTCTTGGCCACAAAGAATGCCATTGTACATGGCTCTGTTCTTAGACTTCACTACTACCAGCGATACTGTCTTTTTCTCAAAAAATCTTCAAGGAAGGTTTTCCTAGGTATACCATGAGACAGAATATAATGTTGATATGTTTTTTAGTGAATGCATACAAATCTATATTTCAGATAGTTTTTTTTTCTTTAAAAATTTCAGAAAATTTATTTCATTTTTGTGGAGAATGGTGTCTCGCTATATTGCCCAGGCAGGTCTTGAACTCCTGGGCTCAAGCTGTCCTCCCCGCTCTGCCTCCCTAAAAGCTGGGATTACAGGCATGAGCCACAGCGCCCGGCCAGGTGGATTTTATGCTTGTGGTTTTTTTAAGCCAGTTTGGAGTATTTATTTTTTTCTTTTTTTTTTTTTTTTTTTTTTTGTGAAATGGAGTCTCACTCTGTCGCCAGGCTGGAGTGCAGTGGCGCGATCTCGGCTTAGTGCAACCTCCTCCTCCCAGGTTCAAGTGATTTACCTGCTTCAGCCTCCCGAGTAGCTGGGACTACAGGCATGTGTCACCACCACACCTGGCTAATTTTTGTATTTTTTAGTAGAGACGGAGTTTCACCATGTTGGCCAGGCTGATCTTGATCTCTTGGCCTTGTGATACCCGCCTGCCTTGGCTTCCCAAAGTGCTGGGATTACAGGTGTGAGCCACTGTGCCCAGCCATATATATATTTTTTCTATTAGGTATGTGTAGATGGGCAAATTTGAGAAGGTAAGTTTTAGGGAAACTGCCCAGATCTCCATTCTGCTATAAAGCAACCAGTAATAATAACTTGTTTGTATATTATTTAACAGTTGACAAATTATTTTTTATACTCTTTCTGTTTTGAAACAGGGTCTCGCTCTGTCACCCAGGCTAGAGGGTAATGATGTTATTACGGCTTCTTGCAGTCTTGACCTCCTAGGCTCAAACAATCCTCCCACTTCAGCTTCCCAAGTAGCTGGGACTACAGGCATGTGCCACCATGCCCAGCTAATTTTTTTTTATTTTTTAAATTTTTTAGATATGTGGCCTTGCTCTGTTTCCCAAGATGGTGTTGAACTCCTAGCCTCAAGCAGTCTTTCCACCTTGGCCTCAAAGTGCTGGAATTATAGGCTGAGCTGCCATGCCCAGCCCTCTTTCTTTTTAACTTTAATACTTTCAGTAATATTCCCTCGATTTGGGTGACTAGAACATATTATGTATACAATCTAAATTCTAAGACTAGATTTAAATAGTATCAAAGGACAGGTCCTTATTGACATGGGAAGTCCAAGTCTACACCCCTTTATTGAGACTGAAGTTTAGGCTAGGCTGTGCAACCACTGCTTGATACTAGACTTGGTATTTAAACTGTGCCTCTTCGCTGAAGTTTCTTAAGCTTGTTAGACATTAAACTGAGGTATGTAGCCATGCAATTCAAATCAGCCTTAGTCTTAATTTAAAAGGGAGTAGTTATTGTTTTTTGACCTCTGTCAGACAAGAGGAGCTATGTTTTGATGATAGGGTAGACTTTGTATTACAGAATAAATTATGTAATAAAAGCTTAGTACATGTTTGTTCAATTAATAATCAGGACCTTGTTAATTGTCTATTTCATCATCTTGAGCAATCCAGTTATCTTACGAATGGCTTCTTCTAGTTCATTCATTGATAAAAAATTATTACCATGAATGGTCAAGACAAACTAGAATCCAGGGTTATTGTTCCAGAGCTTTGTGTTCAGTCCACTGGATCAGCTTCTCCCTGTGTCACCAAATGTGGTGGAGATGAGCTTGCTGATTTAAGTAAGTACCATGTAAAGGTTAAACCACAAGAGGAACAGAGTGTAGAAGTCTCCTGGGTGAAGTAGGAGGATTTTATTATCTTCTGTTTTTGCTAACATGTATTACAAAGAGGGTAGAGGTATATGTTTTATCTCTTCTGTAAGTAAACTTCTTGAAGGCGGAAGTAAGATCTGTTCAAGTTTATAATCTTTTTTTTATTTAACTTTATCTGAAGTAATTTTAAACTTGAAGTTACAAGAACAATAAAAGACAACTTTTATTCTGATATACCAGTTCACCAATTGTTAACATTTTGTCACATACTTCACTGTTTATTTCCTAATAAAAGGACATTCTCAGATGAAAATCAAAAAAGTTAACATTTTGAAACAGTACCATTATGTAATATTCCATATTTTATATGGTCCATGCTTCATTTTTACATATCACCGAATAATGTCCTTTGTAGCAGTTTTTTTCCTAGTCCAGGGTCATGTGTTGGGTTTTGTTGTATGTCTCTGTAGTCCCCCTTGATCTGGAACAATCCTCTGCTTTCCTTTGTCTGCCATGACATTGATATTTTTGAAGACTACAGCACAGGTAAGTTGTAGACAGAGGGCGGGCGCAGTGGCTCACGCCTATAATCCCAGCACTTTGGGAGGCCGAGGCGGGTGGATCAACTGAGGTCAGGAGTTCGAGACCAGCCTGACCAATGTGGTGAAACCCCCGCCTCTAAAAAAATAAATAAATAAAAAGAAGTTGTAGACAGCTTTGTATTCTTGGCCCAGGACATCAACCAAAGAAAGTTTTTAAAAAATACTTAAAAATGGTGGGAGCGAAACCAATGCCTGGCTCGGAGCAGCAGCTGCTGAGGTGTCCCTGGCCGGTGTCCTTCCACCTGTCCACAAGCATGGGGAACATCTTCGCCAACCTCTTCAAGGGCCTTTTTGGCAAAAAGGAAATGCGCATCCTTATGGTGGGCCTGGATGCTGCAGGGAAGACCACGATCCTGTACAAGCTAAAGCTGGGTGAGATTGTGACCACCTTTCCCACCATAGGCTTCAATGTGGAAACCGTGGAGTACAAGAACATCAGCTTCACTGTGTGGGACATGGGTGGCCAGGACAAGATCCGGCCTCTGTGGCGCCACTACTTCCAGAACACACAAGGCCTGATCTTCATGGTGGACAGCAATGACAAGAGAGCACGTGAACGAGGCCTGTGAGGAGCTCATGAGGATGCTGGCTGAGGATGTGCTCCGGGATGCTGCCCTCCCGGTGTTCGCCAACAAGCAGGACCTCCCCAACGCCATGAATGCGGCCGAGATCAGAGACAAGCTGGGGCTGCACTCCCTATGCCACAGGAACTGGTACATTCAGGCCACCTGCACCACCAGCGCAACAGGCTCTATGAAGGACTGGACTGGCTGTCCAATCAGCTTTGGAACCAGAAGTGAATGTGACCCCCCTCTCTCTCACTCCTCTTACCCTCTGCTTTACTCTCATGTGGCAAACTTGCGGCTCGTGATGTGAGTGCCAGAAGCTTCCTCCGTGGTTTGGTCACCTTGTGCATTGCACCATTCTGTAAATGTTGCAGATGCAGCCTGTGGCCAGGCTTTTTATTTAATGTAAATAGTTTTTGTTTCCAGTAAGCAGTTTCTGGTACTCCTATGCAATATTACTCAGCTTTTTTTTATTGTAAAAGAAAAATCAACACACTGTTCAGTGCTGAGAGGGGATGGAGGCCTGTGGGCACCTGGCCTGCAAGAGTCACTGTGTTGGGAAAGCCGGGCACGCTCTTGGCTTTAGAGCCGTGTTGAAATCCATTTTGGTGGTTGGTTTTTAACCCAAACTCATTGCATTTTTTTAAATAGTTAAAAATCCAAGCCGAGAACACTTGAACACACAGAGGGGAGACCCTGCCTAGCATAGATTTGCAGTTACAGCCTGGATGCCAGTCGCCAGCCCGGCTGTTCCCCTTGGGAACATGAGGCGGCGGCGCGGCAGACTGCGATCAATTCTGCATGGTCACAGGAGAGATCCCACAACTTGCTTGTCCTTGGGTCACCCTGCATTCCATAGCCATGTGCTTGTCCTTGTGCCCCCATGGTTCCCAGGGGCCAGGCTGCGAGCCCACAGCCGCCCCACTTTCCTGCAGGCCACCCCAACCACCTTCAGGTAGCCTGTGGGAGGCAGGGCCCCACCTGTCCCTCGGTCAGCATGTGGCCAGAGTGAGTCTGTCGCTCAGACACTTTGGCAGGATGTCTGGGGTCTCACTAGCAGGAGTGTGTGCAAGCTGGGCAGGCGGTCCACCTAGACCCACAGCCCCTCGGGAACACCCCACCTCCGTGTGTGATGTAGCTTTCTTTTCCTCAGCCTGCAGGGGTCCAATTTGCCATCGAAAAAGACAACCTCTATTTTTTTCTTTTGTATTTTGATAAACACTGAAGAAGCTGGAGCTGTTAAATTTATCTTGGGGAAACCTCAGAGCTGGTCTATTTGGTGTCCTGGAACCTCTTACTGCTTTCAATACACGATTAGTAATCAACTGTTTTGTATACTTGTTTTCAGTTTTCATTTCGACAAACAAGCACTGTAATTATAGCTATTAGAATAAAATCACTTAACTATTAAACAAAACAAACAAAAATTTGGGGGCGGGGCGTGGTGGCTCACCCTTTAATCGCAGCACTTTGGGAGGCTGAGGTGGGTGGATCACTTGAGGTCAGAAGTTCAACACCAGCCTGGCCAACATGGTAAAACCCCTTCTCTATTAAAAATACAAAAATTAACTGGGGATGGTGGTGAGTGCCTGTAACCCCAGCTACTTGGGTGACTAAGGCAGTAGAATTGCTTGAACCCAGGAGGCAGAGGTTTCAGTGAGCCGAGATGGTGCCACTGCACTCCAGCCTGGGTGACAAATGAGATTCCGTCTCAAAAAAAAAAAAAAAAAATTTGGGGAAAGTAACTTTGATTCAAAAAGTTTAATACAAGGGGCCGGGCACCATGGCTCACACCTGTAATCCCAGCATTTTGGGAGGCCGAGGTGGACAGATCACCTGAGGTCCAGAGTTCAAGACCAGTCTGGCCAACATAGTGAAACTCCCTCTCTACTAAAAGTACAAAAAATTAGCCAGGCCTCTTGGCAAGTGCCTATAATCCCAGCTATTTGGGAGGCTCAGTCTAGAGAACTGCTTGAACCTGGGAAATGGAGGTTGCAGTGAGCTGAGATTGCATTCCAGCCTGGGCGATAGCGTGAGACTCTGTCTCAAAAAAAAAAGTTAAATATAGGAAAGAAATGTGATTTCTAGAAAAAGAACACATACTTTGACTTAGGGACTTAGATTTAAATCACAGTTCTGCCACTTAGGAGTGGTGTGGCATTGGGCAAGTTACTTTATCTTCCTGACTCTCAATTTCCTTAGCTCTAAAATGGTATACGTAAAATATTGGTGTGGAGAAATAAGATAATGTATGCAAACAGAGCAGCACATGCTGTGCATGCAATGCATGGTAACTGACGATACTGGCTTCGGGATAACCTTGCCTAAGTCATGTGAGGCTGACTGCTTATGTCATGTTTGACGGTTAAATATTTCTATAGCCCTAGTCCACAGAACATGGAAATGGAGAAAAAGCCAGAATCAGAATAAGGAAATCAATTGGTACATTCTTTCCTTGGATGTAAATAGCACCTAAGAATTCCTTGCATTTTCTCAGTGCCTTAAATCTTAACAAGAATGTGGAGACTCCTCTAAGTATTTGTCCCCATATTCAAGTTCTGCAGTATTTGATATTTTCCATTTGCTGTTTACTTTCCAAACTTAATAACTAGGTACGAAATGCTAATGTTCAAGGAATCATTTACTAGGAGAAAACTTAGTATTTGCTTGTGGGTTGGCTTATTGACGTAATCTGTGTGCTGAATTCAGTGGAATGTGGCATAGTCAAATCTGGCTTCTTCTACTACTGAGTTGGTGCAAGAAACACTTGGCAGGTATTAAAGTGCTATTCTTTGCAGTTACTTGGTATAATTTGCCACAGAAGTAAATTCCAGGAGGTAATATTCTTGCTAGGTTACACCCTGTTACCTCCTGACTTAAGGAGTTCAAGCTAAGGGCAATGGTCTCTAACTCAAGGCGATTCTCTTGGCAGCCGGGAAGATTTCCAGAGGATTCCAGAACTTGCCATCAACCCATTGGGGGACCGGATCATCAATGCCTTCTTTCCAGAGGGGTGAGTCAGCACAGTTGTTGGACTTCCTTCCTGAAGCTATCACAGCCTAAATTATTTGCTAACCTGGAATAATGGTATTGGTTGTGTCACCTCAGACTGTGAGATCCCCTGATTATATTGCACATTTCTAATTTTGACATTTCTAGAATATCTCTTCTGTTCTAACCTACTGTGTGTTTTAAACTTCAAATAGACATATGAGCCTATCTTCAAAATTCTGTCTTTATGCTTATTATTGATGTAAAACTAGACTTTAAAAAAATGTTTTTTTGGAAATAATTTCAAATTTACAGAAATTTACAAGTTGCAAAGTGAAAAATAGCACAAAGAATACTTGTATATCTATTGCCCTGATGCATCTATTGTTATATTGTCAACGTTTTGCCTCATTTGTGTGCTCTCTCTCTCAGTGGTAGCCAATAAAAATATAATACAAGCCATATAAATAATTATACATTTTCTAGTAACCACATTAAAAAAGTAAAAATAGGCCGGGCGTGGTAGCTTATGCCTGTAATCCCAGCAGTTTGAGAGGCCAAGGTGGGTGGATCACCAGGGCAGGAGATCGAGACCATCCTGGCTAACACATTGAAACCCTGTCTCTACTAAAAATACAAAAAATTAGCCAGGCGTTGTGGAACGCGCCTGTAATCCCAGCTACTCAGGACGCTGAGGCAGAAGTTGCAGTAAGCTGAGATAACTGCACTCCAGCCTGGACGACAGAGCGAGACTCCATCTCAAAAAAAAAAAAAGTAAAAATAAATTAACTTTGGTAATGAGGGAAGGTGTTCTCTTTCCAGGGTCCACAAGGGGGCGTAATTTTAAGGGCATGCATTTCCCAGTGTCATGACCCGGTCCCATCTCTCTCCCTCCGGGAGATTTAATGGTTTATGTTTAAATTTCGCCGGCTTGGGAAGAAACAAAAAGTCAGTCACTCCAGCGAAAGTTCTAAGGAACTCCTTTCATTGGCCAGGGGTTTTAGAGAAGGTGGGGGTTCCTCCCAGGTTAAAAGTCCCCTTCTTCCACATCTCTTTGGACTCCATGTTTGGATCCCCTTCCGCGAAAACTCCGGTGCTCGTCGAAACTGTTTTTGTCTATCCTGGATTTTCCCTTTGGAGTCCGCTGCCACGAACACTCCCTTCGTGCAAGCCTGTCTTCCCCTACTAAACTCCATCTTTCTCTATTCTCTTCCACTCAGTGTGGAAGCTGCTTTCCTCTCCTGGATTCCATCTTTCTGGATTCTCTCACTCAGTGTGAGAGTTAGCTGTTTCTTTCTCTCTCCTTCTCCTGTTTCTCTCTCTCTAAATAAATCACTTTATTTTTATTTTTTAATTTTTTTTACAAAAAGCTCTGGGCATGGAAAATAAATCGCTTTCTACAAACACTTTTGGGTCTGGCATTTACTGTGCATTGCACTGTGGTCGCCTCTCTCATTCTTGAGAGGGCAAGAGACCGAAAACCTGGAGAAAGATTCTCTCAGGGGAGCTGAGGGCACCCTGAACCCCTGAACCCCAATATTACAGTAATATATATTTTATTTAATATATTTAAAATATTATTTCAATATATAATCAGTATTTAAAATAACAGATATTTTACTTTTTTTTTTTTTTTTGAGACAGAGTCTCACTCTGTTGTCCTGGCTGGAGTGCAGTGGCGCCATCTCGGCCACTGCAACCTCTGCCTCCCAGGTTCAAGCAATTCTCCTGCCTCGGCCTCTGAGGTAGCTGGGATTATAGGCGCACACCACCCCATACCCAGCTAATTTTTGTATTTTCAGTAGAGACTGGGTTTTGCCATGTTGGTCAGGCTGTTCTCGAATTCCCGACCCCAGGCGATCTGCCTGTCTCAGCCTCCCAAAGTGCTGGGATTATAGACGTGAGCCACCATGCCTGGCCTACACGTTTTTGTAATTAGTCTTTGAAATCCAGTGACTAATTTGCATTTAAACACATATCAAGTCAGACTGACCATGTTTCCAGTACACATAGCCACATGTGACAAGTGATTGCAGTATTGAACAGTGCAGCTTGTTCTACATACCCTCTTGCTAATGTTCTGCATACCCTCTCGTTCTACATACCCTTTCTCACAGACATTTTTTTCCCTGTCTCTCTTCTCTCTCTCTACACACACCCTATGTGTGAATGTATATGTATGTACATACATATACTTATGTAATTTTTTTGTGTATGTTTGTTCACATAATTGTATTTCTGAACTATTTAAGGGTAAGTTGCATGGTCATGACCCTTTACCTCTGAATACACCTGTGTGTGTTTGCTAAGTGTAGGAACATTCTTTTACATATCCATAGTATAGTTATCCACTTCAGTAAACTTAACATTGATAAAATACTCTTATCTGCATTCAGATCCTCTCTGGATATAAAAAAAAATACTCTTATCTATTACTGTTTTATTAATATATTATCTATCTTATTCTAATTTATATTCATATTCCAATTTGTCATCTAATAATTTGTTTTATAACACTTCCCTGCCTCCGGTACAGGATCTATTCTGGATCAGTCATCACGGCTCTTTAGCCTCCTTTAATCTGGAACATTTCCACAGCCTTTATTTTACTTTTGTGATACTGAATAAAGATACAGTTCTCATCACACACACACACTCACACACACACACACACACACACACACACACACTTTGTCAAGTAGATTGTTCTTAATGTGGGATTTTCTAACGTGAAAGTAGTCTTTTGATGTGCTTCACTACCTAATACACTGCCTTCAAAGTGCTGAGTAAATATTTATTGATTTGATTAGGTACCTTTTCATGAATAAAGCTTATATATAAGCTTGTTTTAAGTAATGTCCTAAACAGTCTCTTCTTGGTTCATATGAATAGTCTTATGACCCACAGGACTTCAAAATATTATATGGGTGCCAATTCTTAATAATGAGACTGTCAATGAGGACACTGTCAGATAAAATGCCTGGTGAGGAAATTTTAGAACTCTAAATTGAGAGCAAAGGAATTTGCTAGTTGAGAGGGTTGGGCACTCAGTAAATGTGAGCAAAGGTCAGAAGCGGAAGTTAGTTCATGTAAAGGCGGGAATCAAATCATGTTAACAATGAGGAATCTTGTGCCCTCCTTCATTTTTCTCTTTCTCCTTGAACTGGCCTATTTATTTCAGGTGTGGTGTGTCTGCTGAATTCTTCCTTTTTCTACTTCCTCTTTTACCCCTGCAAAGCACTGAACCCTATCCAGAGATAACTTTAATAGCTATGCTTTGTATCCAAACCTTTTGCAATGAAAACTAAACCCAGGAGAATCACTGTGCCAACTTTTTTTCAGAGTTCCTTAGTCACCATTGATTACTTGAAGAAACAAGCTTGTGGGAAGCTGTTTTGTAAGGCTAAACCACATTTGCTCTGACTACAGTATCACCTGCCATTCTGTCCACCAATCGACTGCTAAGGAAATGGGACAGAGTGCATATGAAGAAATGGAGGGCTCTTCTGGGCTGCACTGCTTAGCTCTTAGCAAGCTGTGCCTCTGTCTCTTGCTCTAATCACATAGATATATTTGGCTTCTGGGTTTTTCTTTCTTCCCTAGTGATATGCACATGGGGGCTTTTTAAACATTTTTTTATTTTAAGAGTGAGGTATGAAAGTGGACCATGGTTATTTAATTCCTTTTTACCCAGAAACTTTATGTTATCAATACTCATTAATGTGGTTTTTCTGGCATATGATTTAAATTTTACTCCACATTACTTGATTTCTCAGATCTTACATTTTTGACCAGTTAGCAATATAGATACCTTGAAGAACTAAAAGGTCATTCTTTTTTGTTTGTTTTGTTTTTTTGAGGCACAGTATCCCTCAGTCACTCAGGCTGGAGTGCAGTGGAATGATCTTGGCTCACTGCAACCTTCACCTCCTGGGTTCAACCAATTCTCCTGCCTCAGTCTCCCCGAGTATCTGGGACTACAGACGCATGCCACCATGCCTGCCTAATTCTTGTCGTATTTTTAGTAGAGATGAGGTTTCGCCTTGTTGGACAGGCTCATCTCGAATTCTTGACCTCAGTTGATCCGCCCGCCTCGGCTTCCCAACGTGCTGGTATCTGGCCCTAGGAGTGAGCAACCGTGCCCAGCCAAGTTCATTCTTTTGAGGACAGATGGCTCATAGGCTAGCCTTTGAACTCTGCCTTTAGAAAGTCCCTAAACTGCGTGTCTATATAAGAGACCCTAATACCTCAGCTATTTGGTGGGGCACAGAGAGATATTTTTTTTAGGTAACTAGAGGAACCAGGCCACCTGCCTTAGATAAATATTATGTCACATAGGACATTCTTTTATTATTATTATTATTATTTTTATATGTTGTCCAGCCTGGAGTGCAGTGGCTATTCACAGACGCAATCCCATTACTGATCAGCATGGGAGTTTTGACTTGTTCCATTTCCAGCCTCGGCCAGTTCACCCCTCCTTAGGCAACCTGGTGGTCCCTCGCTCCCGGGAGGTCACCATATTGATCCTGAACTTAGTGCAGACACCCAGTTGGCATAGCGCACTACGGCACAGAACTCCTGGGCTCAAATGCTCCTCCAGCCTCAGCCTCCCAAGTGGCTGGGATTACAGGCACGTGCCTCCACGCCCAGCTCTTTTTAAAAAATTTTTATTTTCACCACTATACTAACGAGAATCTTTTTTTATTATTAAAGAACATCTTCATTCAAGTTTTGAGAATTATTATTATTATTATTTTTTGAGACGGAGTTTCGCTCTGTCTCTCAGGCTGGAGTGCAGCAGTGTGATCTCAGCTCACTGCAACCTCTGCCTCAAGCTATTCTCCTGCCTCAGCCTCCCAAGTAGCTGGGACTACAAGCATATGCCACCACACCCAGCTAATTTTTTGTATTTTTAGTAGAGATGGGGTTTCACTGTGTTAGCTAGGATGGTCTTGATCTTCTGACCTCATGATCTGCCCACCTCGTCCTCTCAAAGTGCTGGAATTACAGGCATGAGCCATCACACCCAGCTGAGAATTATTTCTTATAGGGCTATTGATTAGCCTGTGGCAGAATAAAAAGATTTTCTCTAAGCTTAAGTGCCAAAAAGGCTTTATACACAAGAGGTCTTTCAAAACGTTTTTTTTTTTTTTCTCCATCTGTCACCCAGGCTGGAGGGCAGTGGCGTGATCTCCGCTCACTGCAACCTCCATCTCCAGGGTTTAAGTGGTTCTTGTGCCTTAGCCTTTTGAGTAGCTGGGATTATAGGCACACACCACCACACTCATCTAGTTTTTGTATTTTTAGTAGAGACAGGGTTTTACCATGTTGGCCAGGCAGGTCTTGAATTCCTGACCTTGTGATCCGCCTGCCTTGGCCTCCCAAAGTGCTGGGATTACTGGCGTGAGCCACTGCACCAGGTTTTTTTTTTTTTTTTTTTTTTTTTTTTTTGAGACGGAGTTTCTTTCTTGTTACCCAGGCTGGAGTGCAATGGCGCGATCTCGGCTCACCGCAACCTCCGCCTCCTGGGTTCAGGCAATTCTCCTGCCTCAGCCTCCTGAGTAGCTGGGATTACAGGCTCGCGCCACCATGCCCAGCTAATTTTTTGTATTTTTAGTAGAGACGGGGTTTCACCATGTTGACCAGGATGGTCTCGATCTCTTGACCTTGTGATCCACCCGCCTCGGCCTCCCAAAGTGCTGGGATTACAGGCTTGAGCCACCGCGCCCGGCCTTTATTTTGTTTTTTAAGACAGAGTCTCCTCTGTCACCCAGATTGGAGTGCAGTGCTGCAATCTTGGCTCACTGCAGCCTCTGACTCCTGGGTTCAAGTGATTCTCCTGCCTCACCTTCCTGAGTAACTGGGATTACTCAGGTGCCCACCAGCAGGTCCAGTTCATTTTTTTGTATGTTTAGTAGAGACGGGGTTTTACCATGTTGGCCAGGCTGGTCCAATCTCCTGGCCTCAAGTAATCCACCTGCATCGGCCTCCCAGAGTGTTAGGATTACAGGCGTGAGCTACTATGCCTAGCCAGTATTTTTCTTTTTTGAGATGGAGTCCCACTCTGTCACCCAGGCTGGAGTGCAATGGCATGTTCTTGGCTCACTGCAACCTCCGCCTTTTGGGTTCAAGTGATTCTGCCACCTCAGCCTCCTGAGTAGCTGGGACTACAGCCTTGTGCCACTACACCTGGCTAATTGTTTTGTATTTTTAGTAAAGACAGGATTTCACAATGTTGGCCCGGCTGGTCTTGAACTCCTGAACTTGTGATTTGCCTGCCTTGGCCTCTCGAAGTGCTGGGATTACAAGTGTGAGCCACCAAACCCGGCCCCAGGATCAGTATTTTTCTGTCTACTTTTCTTTTCCAAATATTCAAAAATATGTTTGCTTTTATAATAAAATATGGCTAGGTGCAGTGACTCATGCCTGTAATCCCAGTGCTTTAGGAGGCTGAGGCAGGTAGATCATGAGGTCAGAAGATTGAGACCATCCTGGCTAACACAGTGAAACACTATCTCTACTAAAAATACAAAAAATTAGCCAGATGTGGTGGCATGCACCTGTAGTTCCAGCTACTTGGGAGGCTGAGGCAGGAGAATGTCTTGAACCTAGGGTGGCAGAGGTTGCAGTGAGCCAAGGTTGCAACACTGCACTCCAGCCTGGGCAACAGAATGAGATTCCATCTCAAAATAAATAAATAAATAAATAAATAAATAAATAAATAAATATTAAAAATTTAATAAACTTTACTTTAAAAGCAACTGTTCTATAATGCACCTTAATTTTAAAATATTCCTAGTATACATTACTGCAGGAGAGATGTGGGAGATGACTGAGGAGTCATTGGGTTGAATTGACTTAACCTATGGCTCGCTGCAGAGTTCAAAGCAATGAGTTCAAGTTCTGGCCCGCTTTTATAGTGCTGGCACTACTCTATGTCTGTTTTTTGGAAAAGAGATACAAGTAAATTCAATAGCTAACTATTGCCCTGGTAAGTCCTGTTACCTAAGTCTGGTTAAATCATTTATAAAGTGGAAGTAATAATGGGAGTAATAGCACCTGCTCCTTAAGGTTGGGGTGAGGCTTAGATGATAGGGACTATGAGCCCCAAAGTACTGTGCATATGGAAAGAAACCTCATTAAGTGGACTTTCAGGTGATTGTAGCTAAAGCTGTTGATTTAATTAATTCGTAAGAAATAATCACCGTGATTGACATGGTGTTCTGTTTGTTATACTTCACAATCAGAGAGGACCAGGTAAACTTCCGTGGATTCATGCGAACTTTGGCTCATTTCCGCCCCATTGAAGATAATGAAAAGAGCAAAGATGTGAATGGACCCGAACCACTCAACAGCCGGAGCAACAAACTGCACTGTAAGGAGCTAAAGTCTTCTGGCTTAAAATACTTGCTGTTCATTTCTTAAAAATCATGTATTTACTCATTCATTATTTGAACAAGCATTTACAAGAACATACTGGTTAAGACCTCAGACTCTGGAGCTAAACTAGTCAAATTTAAATCCTAGTCTACCTCTTTTTGGCCGTGTGACTTTGGGCAAGATATTTAACCTCTTTGGGCTTTGGTTTTCTCCTTTGTAAAATGGGATATTAAGGGCTTCCGCATTGAACCGTTGTGAGGATTAAATGAGGGAATAAATGTCAAGTGCTTCAAACAGTGCCTGGCATATACTAGGTACTTAATAAGTGTTACCTAGTTTCATTGTAATTCACTGAGCACCTACTTTGTACCAGGCACTGCAGTCAGTACTAGCATGGCAATAGTGAACACGACACAGGCCCTACCTTTAAGGAATAATGGCAGTCCTCAGCACATCTTAGAATTTGGTAGACACTGGGTCCTCAGTTCATCTTAGAATTTGATAGACACTGGATGTGACTTAAGTAGGGGGGAACAGCTGGATATAGTGCTGTATTTAATTTTTATACCCATGTCTCATGCCTCTTTTCCTTTAAATACTTGTTTGCTTTCCCTTCTGCCCCTACTGGTTCATGTATGATATTGCCCAATCCCTTAAAACACTTCTCCAGGAAATTGAAATTGAATTTCTTTTTATTCAGTACAACTTGAAATTGAAATTGTATTAAAACTGACTGAAGGCTGGGTGCAGTGGCTCACGCCTATAATCCCATCATGTTGGGAGGCCAGGGTAGGTGGATCACTTGAGCCCAGGAGCTTGAGACCAGCCTGGGCAACATGGTGAAACACCGTCTCTAATAAAAATACAAAAATTTGCCAGGTGTGGTGGCATGCATCTGTGGCCCCAAGTACTTAGGAGGCCGAGGTAGGAGAATTGCTTGAGCCTGAGAGGTTGAGGCTGCAGTGAGCCATGATGGCACCACTGCACTTCAGCGCAGGTGACAGAAACTCTGTCTCAAAAAAGAAAGAAAACAAAATCTTCCAAATAGCACTAGTGGATTTGGGCGTTAGTTGGTGTCTTAGGATGCCTTTAGTTGACTCAGCTGGCTTAAACAATAAGGAAGTATATTAGCTCACTTTACAAGTCAGGTTAGACCAGAAGGTGGGTTGATTATGTTTCAAGCACTAGGGATTTTTCTCTTTACTCTGCCATCCTTGTAGTCTGTTTTATCCTAAGGTATTATGGTCATATGACAGCTCTCAGTTGTTAACAGGGCTTCTTTTTTTTTCTTGTTCACATCTGACAGTAGAGGAAGAGAGATATATGTAGAGAGAAATCGAGACTGAAATTGAAATTGAGCAACACTCCTCCCAAGCATGGAATGTAAGTCCTTCCCCTCACTTTGATAAGTCAGTTTAGGTCAGGAGAGTGCCAAGTGCTAAGGTGATTAGGCTAATGAGATTCCCCTCCTAATGCTGTGGTTGGGGTTCTGCTAAGGAAGAAGGTTGGAATGCACAGAAATGGCAAATTTCAGGATGAGATAGAATAATAACAAAGTTCTATGCAGGTTATGCTTGGGTTTATTTTGTTTTTGCTTAATTTTTTTTTTTTTTTTTTTTTGAGACAGGGTCTCACTCTGTCACCTAGGCTGAGTGCAGTGGCATGATCACGGCTCACAACAGCCTTGACTTTCTGGGCTCAAGTGATCCTTTTGCCTCAGCCCCACAAGTTGCTAGGACTACAGGTGTGTGTACTACAACCAACTAATTTTTTTTTTCTCCTAGACTGCTCAGCAGGATAATTTTTCATTTTCTAATTTTTTGTAGGGACACGGTCTCACTATGTTGCCCAGATTGGTCTCAAAATCCAGGAGGCAAGCAATCATCCCACCTTGGCCTCCTGAAATGCTGGGATTACAGGCATGAGCCACCATACCCAGCCTGTCTTTTTCATTACATGCTTCAGTCTTGGCTGTTGGATTAACTTTTACAGGAAGCTAAATATTAATTTGAATTCTGTTGCAGTCTCTCTGTAGGGCTCACGTTCATGTAATTTAACCAGTAAAACCAAAGCTATTCAGAGGCCAAAGAAAAGATGGAAGAGGCTGAAAAGTCCTCAATTTCTATCTGTTGCTCCTCTTTGAACTTCCCACAGGGCTGTATAAGCTGCAGGATGGTGCCTCTTGTTGTAGACTGAGGGCAACTGAATGTCACATATAATGTCTCAGGGCAACACATTTGCCACTGAGACACATTTACCTTAGAGATAGGGGATGTGTTACTTAGAAATGTGGATTTACAGGCCAGGTGTGATGGCTCATGCCTGTAATCCCAGCACTTTGCGGGGCCAAGGCAGGTGAATCACTTGAGGTTGAGAGTTCAAGACCAGCCTGGCCAACATGGTGAAAACCTGTCTCTACTAAAAATACAAAAAATTAGGTGGGTGTGGTGGCACCTGTAATACCAGTTATTCAGGAGGCTGAGTCAGGATAATAGCTTGAATGTGGGGGGGCGGAAGTTGCAGTAAGCCTAGATTGCACCATTGTTCTCCAGCCTGGGCAACAGAGTAAGACTTCATCTCAAAAAAAAAAGAAATGTGAGTTTACAGAAGAGTGGAACCAAATTTTATTATGGTTTCTCTTTTGCATAGAATACTGTCTTCAGGAACTCTGAGAACACACCTTGTTCTATTTCTTTTATGTGCTACAGCGAGAGGACTTTTTTTTTTTGAGATGGAGTTTCACTCTTGTTGCCCAATTCTGGAGTGCTATGGCGTGATCTCAGCTCAGTGCAGCCTCCACCTCTTGGGTTCAAGCGATTCTCCTGCCTCAAACTCTCGAGTAGCTGGGATTACAGGCACCCACCACCATGCCCAGCTAATTTTGTATTTTTAGTAGAGATGGGATTTCTCCATGTTGGTCAGGCTGGTCTCGAACTCTCGACCTCAGGTGATCCGCCTGGCTCAGCCTCCCAAAGCGTTAGGATTACAGGTGTGAGCCACGGCACCCAGCCGAGAATTTCAATCACAATCAGCAAGGCTAAAAACTGTGCCCACGTAGGCACAGGCCCAAGCACACATAGTGCTCCTCTGATCTTCTCTTTGTCTCCTGGAAGTGGTACCTTATTGCTTTTCTCTTTGGATTGGTGAATTTATAATAATGCTTTGTGTAGGCCACTTGCAGTGGATCACACCTGTAATCCCAGCACTTTGGGAGGCCGAGGCAGGTGGATCACAAGGTCAGGAGTTCAGGACCAGCCTGACCAACATGGTGAAATCCCATCTCTACTAAAAATACAAACATTAGCCGGGCGTGGTGGCACATGCCTTTAATCCCAGCTACTCAGGAGACTGAGGCAGGAGAATCACTTGAACCTGGGAGGTGAAGGTTGTAGAGAGCCAAGATCGCGCCATGGCACTCCAGCCTGGGCGACAGAGAAAGACTGTCTCAAAAAAAAAAAAAAAAAAAAAAAATGAAAGGTGTAGAATATCCATCTTAGAATGCCCTAGGGCATGGTAAATAAGAGAATTCAAGAAGTCTACAGGTTTTTAGGCACCGGGCGCTATGGCTCACGCCTGTAATCCCAGCTCTTAGGGAGGCAGAGGCAGGAGAATAGCTTGAGCCCAGGAGTTCGAGACCTGCTTGGGCAATATAGCGAGATACCGTTCTCCACAAAAAGGAAAAAAACAAAAAGACAAAAGAAAAAAAATTAGCCAGGCGTGGTGTCTGTGGTCCCAGCTACTTTGGAGGCTGAGGTGAGAGGATCCTTGGAGCCTGGGGGGTTGAGGCTGCAGTGAGTCATGATTGTTGCACTCCAGCCTGGAGACAGAGAAGGAGCCTGTCTCAAAAAAAAAAAAAAAGATAACCAAATTAAACAAACCAAAAAAAAAAAAAAAAAAATCAGAAAGTCTCTTCTAGCTACTTCCTTTCTCCAGAATTCTGATATATAACTTACAAAGACTAAATTAGATTTTAAAATTATTTTTATTTATTTATTTATTTTTTTTTGACAGAGTCTCGCTCTGTCACCAAAGCTGGAGTGCAGTGGCATGATCTCAGCTCACTGCAACCTCTGCCTCCCACGTTCTAGCAGTTCTCCTGCCTCAGCCTCCCAAGTAGCTAGGACTACAGGCACATGCTGCCACCCCCGGCTAATTTTTTGTATTTTAGTAGAGACAAGGTTTCACCTTGTTGCCCAGGCTGGTCTCGAATTCCTGAGGTCAGGCAATCCACCAAAGTGGATTGGCCTCCCAAAGTGCCAGGATTATAGGTGTGAGCCACCGTGCCTTGTCTATTTTTACTTCATCTTTTAGTGTACTCACCCTTTTATTTTGGAGGGCAGGGATATTTATTTTCTTTCTTTATTATTATTATTATTTTGAGACGGAGTTTCACTCTTGTTGCCCAGGCTGGAGTGCAATGGTGCAATCTGGGCTCATCTCAACTTCTGCCTCCCAGGTTGAAGCAATTCTCCTGCCTCAGCCTCCCAAGTAGCTGGGATTACAGGCATGCACCACCATGCCTGGCTAATTTTTTTGTATTTTTAGTAGAGATGGGGTTTCTCCATGTTGGTCAGGCTGGTCTCGAACTCCCAACCTCAGGTAATCCACCTGCCTTGGCCTCCCAAAGTGCTGGGATTACTGGCATGAGTCACCACCGCCGGCAAGGATATTTAAACCTGTAGATATGAATCCATGTTCTCATGCCTTTGTGCCTAATAATAGCTCTTTGGAATGCCCACCCCTTGTCACATTTTTATTTGTCTTTCAAGGCCTTGTTCAAATGTAACCTCTCCTTGATGTTTCCCCAGCTCCACTAAAAAGCTGCATCTGCCATACACTTTGTTACCCCCGCATTTTGGATGTGTTGTAGAGCTTAGGGGTCATGTGTATTGCTCTCCTGCATGAGATAGTGAGTTCCTAAGGACAGTATAAATCTTAATAGCTCTAGAGCAGTGGATTTGGGCCTTTTAGTATTTGCGACACCCTATTTATGATCCACAGTCTTAGTGGCATTCTTCAGGTGATTCAAAACCTAAAAACCATGCTAAATTCAGTTGTGGGAGAAGACATTCATGTCCTCAGGGTGAATTTTTCTCATGGCACCTATAAAATCACCCAGTGTTATTACCCTATTCTGTTGGTAGCCTTTCAGCAGCATGGTAAAAATTTAATGATTTTGTTCTTCTGATTTCTCTCTCATATGGACCCAAGCAAAGTTCTCATATATCCTAGTTTCTAGAAGGCTTAAAGAGAAAGAAACATGATAAGGCCAGGAGACCATCTGAGCCATCATATTTATTTGAAACTCAATTTCTTTTTTTTTTTTGAGACAGAGTCTCACTCTGTCACCCAGGCTGGGATACAGTGGTACAACCTCAGCTCACTGCAATCTCCTCCTCCCAAGGTTCAAGTGATTTTCCTGCCTCAGTCTTTTGAGTAGCTGAGATTACAGGTGCCCACTACCACACCCAGCTAATTTTTGTATTGTTAGTGGAGACGAGGTTTCATGGTGTTGACCAGGCTAGTCTTGAACTGCTGACCTCATGATCTACCCACCTTGGCCTCCCAAAGTGCTGGGATTACAAGCGTGAGCCACCTCGCCCAGATTGAAACTCAATTTCTTTATCTGCAGGACTCCCCAGTGATAGAGAATTACTTGAAATTTGAGACAATTTTGCCCAGGAGGCTCTATTCCCAAAGCAGTACTTTGTGTCGTCAGCTCTCATGATACCTGTGGGGCACCTATTGTTGGTTTTCCTTGAGTGGTGCCTGGTAGAATTGATGTTTGTGTGAGGTGACCTAACTTACAGAACCACATAAGGGATGTTTGGGGGCTGTTTAACATTCTAGGTTAAGAAAAAGGACATTTGGCTTTCTTTTTATGAAGTTTTCTGATTTGTTGGGAGACCATACTTCATGCAATCTAAGATCACATCAATTCTCAGTTCTTCAGTGTTACAATTTTTTTAAAGCCCTGCAAGTAATGGCAGTTGTTCTTAAAAAATCGATTAATTGGCTGTCAATTTTCTGTCTAGTGTCATATATTTAGTTCCTTGAGAAGGGGCAACACACTACCGAATTTCGACTAACTTTGTGTTTTTCCCTTACAGTTGCTTTTCGACTATATGATTTGGATAAAGATGACAAGATCTCCCGTGATGAGCTGTTGCAGGTATGTGGGAGAGCTCCTGGAGAAGCTGTGTTTGGACACTGCCTGCTTATTATTATGGGCAGGAACTATTCTTTCCTTTAGTAAGCATTTATTTAATACCTGCTATGTGCAGAGTCCTGACCTAGTTATAAGGCAAAAGAGGTGCCCTGGGAAAACTTGAAATAGCTCATTGTGTTTTCATAGACAGATATCTCCGATATTTAAAAACTAACTAGGGCCAGGCACGGTGGCTCACGCCTGTAATCCCAGCACTTTGGGAGGCTGAGACGGACGGATCAGAAGGTCAAGAGTTCGAGACCAGTCTGGCCAACATAGTGAAATCGCGTCTCTACTAAAGATACAAAAAAAATTAGCCGGGTATGTTGGCAGATGCCTGTAATCCCAGCTACATGGAAGGCTGAGGCAGGAGAATCGCATGAACCGGGGAGGTGGAAGATGCAGTGAGCCGAGATGATGCCACTGCACTCCAGCCCAGGTGACAGTGCGAGACTCCATCTCAATCAATCAATCAGTAAAATAAAAGCTAACTAGGCTGGGAACAGTAGCTCATGCCTGTAATCCTAGCACTTTGGAAGGCCAAGGTGGTTGGCTCACCTGAGGTCAGGAGTTCAAGAGCAGCCTGGCTAACATGGTGAAATCCCATCTCTACTAAAAATACAACAATTAGCTGGGCATGGTGGCAGGGGCCTGTAGTCCCAGCTACTTGGGAGGCTGAGGCAGCAGAATCACTTGATCCCAGGAGGTGGAGGTTGCAGTGAGCTGAGATCCCGCTACTGCACTCCAGCCTGGGCGACAAGAGCAAAACTCCATCTCAAATAAATAAGTAAATAAACAAACAAACAAAATAGGCTGATGCCCTTTTCAGCCTCAGCCCACCAGCACCCGGGTGAATAAAAAATGAAAAAATAAAAGCTAACTAAATGGCTTTTAGGTACTGACTGACAGTTAAAATATACAACACAATTTAGATCAAATAGTTCAGTTATTGAAAAATAAGATTGTTGGCAGCCAGGTAATTCTGATGATACTTAGGTAAATGCTGTTATTTAGTCTGTCCTTAGGCTTGACATAAGAGTCAAGGAATGCCAGGCGCGGTGGCTCACGCCTGTAATCCCAGCACTTTGGGAGGCTGAGGTGGGTGGATGACCTGAGGTCAGGAGTTCGAGACCAGCCTGACCAATATGGTGAAACCCCACCTTTAAATAAATAAAAATATTAAAAAATATATATTAGGCCGGGCGCGGTGGCTCAAGCCTGTAATCCCAGCACTTTGGGAGGCTGAGGCGGGTGGATCACGAGGTCAAGAGATCGAGACCATCCTGGTCAACATGGTGAAACCCCGTCTCTACTAAAAATACAAAAACATTAGCTGGGCATGGTGGTGCGTGCCTGTAATCCCAGCTACTCAGGAGGCTGAGGCAGGAGAATTGCCTGAACCCAGGAGGCGGAGGTTGCGGTGAGCCAAGATCGCGCCATTGCACTCCAGCCTGGGTAACATGAGTGAAACTCTGTCTCAAAAAAAAAAAAATATATATATATATATTAAAAAAAAAACAAGAGTCAAGGAGATGCTGCTGTGCTGGTGTACCTTGAGCTAACTGCCCACTTTCCTTGTTGCTCCTAGGGATAATTTACTGTTTTCCTCCTAGCAGTGACTGGCATTTCATCCTATTAGCATTGCCCTTCTCTTCCTCCCACCTCTTTCTCCTTCTATAAGGTTAGGAGGGATGAAAATTACCCTTTTAAAAAGTGTGTAGTCCGGGTGTGGTGGCTCACACCAGTAATCTCAGCACTTTGGGAGGCCAAGGCAGGTGGATCACCTGGGGTCAGGAGTTCGAGACCAGCCTGGCCAACGTGGAGAAACCCCGTCTGTACTAAAAATATAAAAATTAGCCAGGTATAATGGTGGGCAACTGTAATTTCAGCTACTCAGGAGGCTCAGGCAGGAGAATTGCTTGAACTCGGGAGGCAGAGGTTGTAGTGAGCTGAGATTGCACCATTGTACTCCAGGCCAGGCGACGACAGCAAGACTCTGTCTCAAAAAACAAGCAAACAACACAAAGCAAAAACAAACAAAAAATGTGTGTGTGTGTGTGTGTTTATGAGTCTGGACTATAGGAGGCTAACACATTGGATTTCCATGGGGAAAGTTCTCTATTTCAAGATACACTTAAAAAAATAAAGTGGTTTCCACCCATTCATTCATTGTCTTCCATGTTAAAGATTACTCAGGGCAGACTCAGGAGCAACCCATCATATTCTTACATTGCTGTAAGCAGAAACCAAAACAGTCTGCAGGTCAGTGTTAGTGTCCCTTGCTTCTGAGTTGGGAATTTCTTTAGCGAGAAGTGTTTGTTTTCTTGCAAGTTGCTACATATGGACTTCTGAGTTCTGAAGAGAAAAGACAGGTGTGGGCCAGGTGTGGTGGCTCACACCTGTAATCCCAGCACTTTGGGAGGCCGACGCGGGCAGATCACAAGGTCAAGAGATTGAGACCATCCTGGCCAACATGGTGAAACCCCATCTCTACTAAAAATATAAAAATTAGCCAGCTGTGGTGGCACGTGCCTGTAGTCCCAGCTACTCGGTGGGCTGAGGCAGGAGAATTGCTTGAACCCGGGAAGCGGAGGTTGCAGTGAGCTGAGATCGCACTACTGCACTCCAGCCTGGCACCTGGTGACAGAGCGAGACTCTGTCTCAGAAAAAAAAAACAAAAAGAGATAAAAGAGCCAGTCACTCTATAGTTGACATGTTAACTCTCTGGCCCAAATCTGATTGCCAGAAATGTCTTTTTGGAGTGGAGGATTGATTTATTTTTCATTATTAGGATATAGAAAGCCTGAGGCAGGCAGTGGGGAGGAGACCATATAGCCAGAGTGACAGTCAGTGCCACCAAAGCATCCCTGGGGCCAGGAATGACTTTGGGACAAATGTGCTCATGGACTGTTGAGGCATCACACAATTAGTTTTATCCTAGCAAGAAGAGGATATGAACATTTTACCAAGTTAGAGAACAAAGTTTATCTTTTTTGACACTGCAATTTCTAAAACATTTGGAAATTTTCAATTCTTAGCTCCACAGTGTTTTGCTTTGTTTTGTTTTGAGACAGTCTGGCTCTGTCGCCCAGGCTGGAGTGCAGTGGCGTAATCTCCACTCACTGCAACCTCTGCCTCCCGGGTTCAAGCCATTCTCCTGCCTTAATCTCCCGAGCAGCTAGGATTATGGGCATGTGCCACCACACCTAGCTAATTTTTATATTTTTAGTAGAGACGGGGTTTCACCATGTTGGTCAAGCTGGTCTCGAACTCCTGACCTCGTGATCCACCCGCCTCAGCCTCCCAAAGTGCTGGGATTACAGGCATGAGCCACCATGCCTGGCCTTCAGTGGATGTTAAGAATTTTGTGGTGAGCTCATCCTAAGGAAAGACTGAGTGGTCATGTTTGCTTTCTTTTCTTTTTTTTTTTTTTTTTTGAGATGAGTCTTGTTCTTTCACCCAGGCTAGACTGCAATGGTGCGATCTTGGCTCACCACAACCTCTACCTCCTGAGTTCAAGCAATTCTGCCTCAGCCTCCTGAGTAGCTGGGATTACAGGTGCTTGCCATCACGCCTGGCTAATTTTTGTATTTTTAGTAGAGATGGGGTTTCACCATGTTGGCCAGGTTGGAATGTGAGCCACCGCCCCCGCCACAACTTCTAATTTTCAAGAATTGGTTTATTTAAAAAATAACCAGTTTGATTGCAAATCAGTATTTCAGCTTTTTTTCTTTTTAGAAAATCATGTCATTTACTATTGATGGATTGATTGATTGACTGATAGGGTCTCCCTCTGCTGCCTAGCCTGGAGTGCAGTGACTATTTACAGGCATGATGACAGCACACTCCAGCCTTGAACTCCTGTGCTCAGACCATCCTCCTTCCTCAGCCACCCAAGTAGCTGGAACTATAAGCACGCACTACTACACCCAGCTTATAATTTACTTTTTAAAAATCTGTTTCATGGGCCAGGTGCAATGGCTCACACCTATAATCCCAGCACTTTGGGAGGCCAAAAGTGGCCAACAGGTGAGTGGATCACCTGAGGTCAGAAGTTTGAGACCAGCCTGACCAACATGGTGAAACTCCATCTCTACTAAAAATACAAAAAGTAGCTAGGAATGGTGGTGGGTGCCTGTAATCCCCACTACTCGGGAGGCTGAGGCAGGAGAATCGCTTGAATCCAGGAGGTGGAAGTTGCAGTGAGCTGAGATCGCACCACTGCACTCCAGCCTGGGCGACAGAGTGAGACTGTCTCAAAAAAAAAAAAAAAATCTATTTCATGTGACTGTAGAAGAAGTAAAGGGCCGGGCGCAGAGGCTCATGCTTGTAATCCCAGCACTTTGGGAGGCTGAGGCAGGTGGATCACCAGATCAGGAATTCGAGACCAACCTGGCAAACAGGGTGAGACCCCATCTCTACTAAAAATACAAAAAAAATTAGCCGGGCATGGGGCACGCGCCTGCATTCCTAGCTACTCAGGAGGCTGAGGCAGGAGAATCACTTGAACACTAGAGGTGGAGGTTACAGTGAGCCAAGATTGCACTGTTGTACTCCAGCCTGGGGGACAGAGTGAGCCTCTGCCTCAAAAAAAAAAAAAAAAAGGTAAGTAAAGGAGTGGAGGCAAAGAAAGCCAATGAACCATTGGGCTAGAAGCCCTTTCTTCCTGTGGAAAAGCTCAGCTCTTAGCATTTAAAGACAGAAGTGACTGACTACAGTGATATAAGGAGTCAGAAAGGCACCCTGTCCCCCATTTCATACTAAGAACCAGCCTTTCTATATTGTCTGATAGTCAAATTGTTAAAGTTCCTTATTTTAAGGGAGCAATTTTCAAAATATGTTCACACCCTAAAGATATTAATAGAATTGCTAGGGCCCAAGGGTTGGTGAAGTTTGAGACAAATTTGGTGAAACAGTGTTAAATTCTCTTATTCAATTCTCACAGCCCTATAATTGTACTTGTTATTTTTCTCAGAAAGGGATTTAGCATTTAACTCTTGAAGGATTTTTATGTTTTTGGGGGTCATACTTCAGGAATAGCTGGCTTAAGGCAGCACCTCAAAGAGGACTACATTTTCGAGGGGATTTCAGAAAGTATAATTTAAATCAATAAGGAACTAGTTACGCTCACGCAGCAAGAATTTTTGGTATAGATTGTCCAGGCTTGTATAGTACCTAACTGATGTCCAGGAACCAGGCTTATTCTGTGTTCTTGTCTTGGCATCTATAGCTTATGTTACTCACCTCATGGCTCCAGGGTGGCTGCGGTGTCACCAGACATCATATCTATATTCTGGGTAAGAAGAATGAGGAAGGGCAAAATGCAAAGGACTCTCCCTTAGTAAGTCTTTGTCTTCTTAACCAGTAACTGAGATAAGTTCTTAATTCATTGCCTAGATGAGAAGATAAGGGTTTCAGCCTTTTAGCTGCTATATAGTCACATGATGCTAATGATGAGGATACATTCTGAGAAATGCATTGTTAGGCAATTTTGTAGCTGTAGGAATATCATAGAATGTACTTACATGAGCTGGTTGCAGTGGCTCATGCCTGTAATCCCAGCACTTTGGGAGGCTGAGTTGGCTGGATCAACTGAGGTCGGGAGTTCAAGACCAGCCTGACCAACACAATGAAACCCCATCTCTAGTAAAAATACGAAACAATTAGCCAGGCATGGTGGCGCATGCCTATAATCTCAGTTACTTGGGAGGCTTAGAAGAGAATCGCTTGAACCTGGGAGTCGGAGGTTGCAGTGAGCTGAGATTGTGCCATTGCACTCCAGCCTGCACAACAAGAGCAAATAGTACTATACTATAGTATGAACGCATAATGGTATTTGTGTATCTAAACATATCTTTGGCTGGGCATGGTGGCTTATGCCTAGAATCTCAGCACTTTGGGAGGCAGCAGAGGGAGAATTGCTTGAGCACAGGAGTTGAAGGCCTGCCTGGGCAACATAGTGAGACCCCCCCCATTGCTACAAAAAATTTTTAAAAATTAGCCAGGCATGGTTGCATGCACCTGTACTGTAGTCTCAGCTATTTGGGAAGCTGAAGTGAGAGGATCACTTGAGCGTGGGAGGTGAGGCTGCAGTGAGCCACATTCACACTATAGCACTCCAGCGTGGGCAACAGAGTGAGACCCTGTCTCAAAAAAAAAAAAACAAAAAAAACCCCAAAACAAATACATATATCTAAATATGGAAAAGGTACAGTAAAAATATGGTGTTGTAATCTTTCTTTAAAAATTTTTAACTTTAGCTGGGCGCAGTGGCTCACGCCTGTAATCCCAGCACTTTGGGAGGCCGAGGCGGGTGGATCACGAGGTCAAGAGATCGAGACCATCCTGGTCAACGTAGTGAAACCCCGTCTCTACTAAAAATACAAAACATTAGCTGGGCATGGTGGCGTGTGCCTGTAATTCCAGCTACTCAGGAGGCTGAGGCAGGAGAATTGCCTGAACCCAGGAGGCGGAGGTTGCGGTGAGCCGAGATCGTGCCATTGCACTCCAGCCGGCGAAATAAGCTATAAATCAAGCTCTCATGACAAGAGTTTACCTACATAAGTAACTTTTAGGTTCAGGAGTACATATGCAGTTACTTATGTAGGTAAACTCTTGTCATGAGAGTTTGATATATAGATTATTTCGTCTCCCAGGTACTAAGCCTATTACCCAGTAGTTCTTTTTTCTGCTTCTCTCCCTCCTCCCATCCTCCACCCTCTGGTAGGCCCCAGTGTCTTTTGTTCCCTGTTTTTTGTCCATGTGTTCTCATTAATACAGTGTTATAATCTCATGGCACCACCACTATTTATGCAGCTGATCATTAACCAAATATTATTATGCAGTACATGACAGTATTTGTGGTCATCAAAGGAAAAGGAGGATGGTGATAGCTTTATTTTTAATCTTAGTAGAAGAGTCCCTCCGATTCCCAAGGCCCTTGTCATTCTGGCTCTTGATCTTGCAGGTGCTACGCATGATGGTCGGAGTAAATATCTCAGATGAGCAGCTGGGCAGCATTGCAGACAGGACCATTCAGGAGGCTGATCAGGATGGGGACAGTGCCATATCTTTCACAGAATTTGTTAAGGTTGGTCTCTTATCTCTTTGGGTTTTTTTTGTTTGTTTTGTTTTGAGACAGTTTCGCTCTTGTTGCCCAGGCTGGAGTGCAATGGTTCGATCTCAGTTCACTGCATCCTCCGCCTCCCAGGTTCAAGGGAGTCTCCTGCCTCAATGTCCTGAGTACCTGGGATTAGAGGCATGCACCACTACACCTGGCTAATTTTTGTATTTTTAGTAGAGATGGGGTTTCACCATGTTGGTCAGGCTGGTCTCAAACTCCTGACCTCGTGATATGCCCACCTCAGCCTCCCAAAGTACTGGGATTACAGGTGTGAGCCACCGTGGCCGGCCACTACTTTGTTTAAAAAGTTAAATTCCGGCCGGGCACGGTGGCTCATGCCTGTAATCCTAGCACTTTGGGAGGCCGAGGTGGGTGGATCACCTGAGGTCAGGAGTTCAAGACCAGCCTGGCCATTAGGGTGAAACCCCATCTTTATTTTTTATGAATTAAAAAAAAAAAGAAAAAGAAAAAGAAAAAAACAGTTAAATTCTACTGAACAGGAGGGAGAAGGGAAAACATAACTCAGATAAGAGCTTGGGAGTGTTGTGACCTTTATAACCTTCATAACTGTCACTGGTTTTCTCCCACAGGTTTTGGAGAAGGTGGATGTAGAACAGAAAATGAGCATCCGATTTCTTCACTAAAGGACGGCGACCAAATTGTTCCTTGAGGTCTAGTATTTAAGAACTGGAACTTGAAAGTCCTCCTTCCACCAACCCCACCTCTCCCCCATCATTCACTTTCTCCCTAAGTACTACTGCTGTTGCATGACAACCCTGAATATGTTCTGTCAACACAAATCTGCCTTTGATGTATAAACAGGGCATTACAGAATGGTACACCCAGTCTATTTCTGTTCGGTATTATTCACTTGTTCTTCATTTATAAATATCATCTTCCCCATTCTGCTGCTGAATGCCACACGTCCATCCAGTCTGAGAAAGTGATAGAGGGACTCATGCCAAGAACAAGCCAGCAAAGCTCTTTCACTGGATGTAGACTGTAGCCCTGCTGTCTTCCCTCCAGCGAGCCTGCCAGCATGCTTTATCCTTTTTATATGGCCTTTGCTTCCTACTTCTGTGTCATCCAACATACTGTTCACTTAGTCTGGCAGTCTTTCTGCTTTACATTAAGCCTCAAAATCTCCTCTGTTTTACTTGGCACCATAAGCTGTGCCCTATATACGTATTTCTGACTTGGCAGGATAGTTCAGGGGTCTGGTAGTTTTTATTTACCTTCATTATTAAATGGACCTCTGGGATGTTGCCTTTCCAGGAGCTTTTTGGTAACCAACACTTTTCTCAGAAGTATAAGATCATCCTCTGCACTCTGCTCTGTCATCAAAGGGCTGCTGGGCAGAGATACCCCTTCTTGAAAGGTGGCCTTGGTAGAGGTGTGGAGTCAAGTCTTCTAGTTTGCTTGCCCACATCACTCTACCTCTGTCCTCTGATTCTCAACTTTGTACCTCTGTGGCTCCTCTTGTTAATGCAGTGTTGACTGATCAAAAAATAGCAACACGCCTGCAGGTTTGCTTAGTTTGGGGACACCGTTACCACCAGAATGGCTGCTCTGACAATATGCCTGGGAACTTTCTCATAGCTTTTTTTAACAAGGAGGCTGGGCACCCTGTAAAGCCTCATGCATTCACACCTTTGCAGCATGGTTTGTGCCTCAGTGTTATGTGCACTGGAATGTTTTTCACTTCACATTTCCAAGTAGAAAAATTAGTGTTACGAGCCAGGCATGGTGGCTCACGCCTGCAATCCCAACACTTTGGGAGGCTGAGGAGGGCATTTCACAGGTCAGGAGTTCAAGACCAGCCTGGCCAACATGGTGAAACTCCGTCTCTACTAAAAATACAAAAATTAGCTGGTGTGGTGGCAGTCGCCTGTAATCCAAGCTACTCAGGAGGCTGAAGCAGGAGAATCACTTGAACCTGAGAGGCAGAGGATGCAGTGAGCCGAGACTGCACCATTGCACAATAGCCTGGGTGACAAAGCAAGACTCCGTCTCAAAAAATAAAAATAAAAATAAAAAAAGAATGATTAGTGTTATGGAAGTGCCAAAGTTATCCTAGTCCAAAATATTTAAAGATTGTTTCCTCAGTGTCTTGAGGTTTTGCACAAAATTCTTTTTTTTTTTTTTTTTTTTTTTTTAAAGACAGAGTCTCACTCTGTTGCTTAGGCTGGAGTACAGTGGCACCATCTCGACTCACTGCAACCTCTGCCTCCTGGTTCCAGCAATTCTCCCACCTCAGCCTCCCAAGTAGCTGGGATTACAAATGTGCACCACTATACCCAGCTAATTTTTGTATTTTTAGTGGAGAGGGGATTTCACCATGTTGGCCACGTTGGTCTTGAACTCCTGACCTCAGGTGATCCTTCTGCCTCAGCTTCCCAAAGTGCTGTACAGGCATGAGCCACCACACTCAGCCACAAAACTCTTTATGAATTTTACACTTAGCACATATTAATGATGGAAGCCATAGTCAGCTTCTAATACAAGTCCAAAGAATTGACTATTGTATCATTAGCTGCCTGGTTACATTAGCTTCTAAGCTCCTTGTAAAGACCACCACTAATCCCTTAAAAACAAGAGGTCTGGCAGTGGTAGCACAACCTAAGGTGGCATTACAGGTCTTTGAGCAAGCCATAGCAACTTTTCTGCCAAAGTCAGCTTAGTTTAGACTTCAGTGATTCAGGCTATTGCCATTCTAATGTATGTCTCTATGAGTCTGTTTATCCGTACATCTGCCCTTGGCTGACTCTGACTCATTGCTTGCTTGCTTGCTTGTTTCCTTGCTTTGGAAAACTATTGAAGATATGTACATAAGTCTTTAGGAAGGGGATTGCTAAAAAATAACATTGCGAAGTGATGGAAAAGGGTGGAGAACAGGGAAGTAACCAGGCTGGATGGCTCAAAATATAAATTAATGAAGAACTCTTTATGAAGTATCAGTCAGACTTTGTGATCAAATGATGCAATATAGGAATTATGTAAAAGGGAAGAATATCCAATACTGACCTATTAGAGAGGTACTTCACAGGCTCCTTGATTTGCATATTTAAAGTTCCTAAGGTTATAGCTTTTCCCCCCTTTTGGCTGTGTAGTAAACTTTTAATCCACGGTTGTGCCTTATTGTTCCATTAAAATTGTATCTTTGATCCATCAATAAATACTTGTGGTTGAAACAAAATAACTTGGTTGATTTTGTCGATTTTACAAGAATTTTATGTAACTTAGTCCCTTCTTCAAGTTTGAAATCACAGTGTCTCCCTTACTCAAGTTTGTCTGTACTGTCAGCTGCAGTCTACTTTGCTGCTGCCTGGACATATGAAGTGGAAACATTTTTCTACAAGCCAGCACTCTCAGCCTCTAGACACGGTTTTGTCAGCCATGGCCACTTCCCATTAATTCCAGGTAAGATGCAATTTCTATTCTTGACTCCCTGATTCTTTAAAGATAGAAAAAGCCTAAAAATGCAGTATCTGTCTATTCCTTGTTATTAAGTTGCCCACCTCTTCCTTCATGTGCAGCCTCAGTGGTGACATACTCTGCTTTTACGTGGCTTTTCCCATTTTCATTTCTAAGACTAAGTCTCACTTTGTTGCCCAAGCTGGAGGGCAGTGGTGTGATCTCAGCTCACTGGAACCTCCACCTCCCAGGTTCAAGCGATTCTCCTGCCTCAGCCTCCCAAGACAATGGGATTACAGGCGTGTGCCACCACACCCAGCTAATTTTTAGTTTAGTTTTGTTTTCTTTGGGAAAGAGTCTCACTTTGTTGTCCAAGCTGGAGTGCAATGGCATGGTCTTGGCTCAGTGCAACCTCTGCCTCCCGGGTTCAAGCGATTCTCCTGTCTCAGCCTCCCATGTAGCTGGGATTACAGGTACCCACCACCATGCTCGGCTAATTCTTGTATTTTTAGTAGAGATGGGGTTTCACCATGTTGGCCAGGTTGGTCTTGAACTCCTGACCTCAGGCGACATGCCCGCCTCAGCCTCCCAAAGTGCTGGGATTACAGGTATGAACCACTGCACCCGGCCACGGCCTATTGTTTCTAATTTTATCTGTTATAAAATATTGATGTAATGAATCTCTGCATATAACTTTTTACTTTGAAAAATTTTACAAGGGTGGAATTACTAGGTCAAAGTTCAAGCATATACTTACATTGTTTGCTATGTTTATTATGCTCCTTTATCTTTGGTGTTCTATATAGGATATCTTTATCGTCACTTGTTTTTCCAAATTGATTTTAGAATCATTTTGTCAATTGCATTTAAAACGTTATTAGGCTCACACCTCTAATCCCAGCACTTATGGTGGCAGAGGTGGACAGATCACTTGAGGCCAGGAGTTCAAGACCAGCTTACCCAATGTGGCGAAACCCCTTCTCTAGCAAAAATGCAAAAATTAGCTGGGTGTCGTGGTTGGCGCCTGTAATCCCAGCTGCTCCAGAGGCTGAGGCAGGAGAATCGCCTGAACCCAGGAGGCAGGGGTTGCAGTGAGCCGAGACTGTGCCACTGTATTTCAGCCTAGGCAACAAAGCAAGACTATCTCAAAACACACACACACACACACACATACACACACACACACACACACACACACAATTAGAATAGATTGTGTTAATTGGGAATTGGGATTTGGAACAAGTATTACTGCAGAGATGCCTTAAAAGAGGACTACCTTGTTCTTTCATCAGGGTCGCCAACATGCCATCCAGACTGAGGAAGACCCAGAAACTTCAGGGCCACATTTGCCACGGCTGCATCTGTAAGCACTGGAAACACCCCGGAGGCTGTGGTAATGCTGGTGATATGCATCACCACAGGACCAACTTCAACAAATACCGCCCAGGTTCCTTTGGTAAAGTTGGTATGAGGTATTACCTCTTAACAGAGGAACCAGACTTCTGCCCAACTGTCAACCTTGACAAATTTTGGACTTTGGTCAGGGAGCAGACACAGGCGAATGCTGCTAAAAACAAGACTGGGGCTGCTCCCATCACTGATGTGGTGCGATCTGGCTATACAAAGTTCTAGGAAAGGGAACGCTTACAAAGCAGCTTGTCATCTGAAGGCTAAATTCTTGAAGAGCTGAGAAGATTAAGGGTGTGGGGGGAGGGGGGACTGTGTCCTTGGGGCTTGAGGCCGTATGGAGGGAGGTTCATTAAATGCTAACTACTTAAAAAAAAAAAGAGGACTTCGTTTACAAACAGATTTTCTTATACTACAAACTAGGTATGGCCACTGCCGCCTGGCCAGGAATCTATATTGCTACGAATCGACCAGGTGACAGCCCTCTTGGTGTCTGGGAAGCACGGTGGACCTACACCGCCTACGCCAGGCCCCGCTCGTCTAACACGGATGAGGAGCCACCCCATATACATACCCTCCCTGTCCCTCTTGGAAACGTTGCAGAAGAAAGGATGTCCTACAGTTGGGTGTAGCAAACGACAAAATTGCCAGTCATAACAGGTTACCTCTATGTAGAAGCGCCCTCAGAAAAGTGACGAATCCTCTCCCGTATTGATCAAAGCTGTAAACAGCAGGACATTTGGGTCCTTTAAGAGTCTAAATGAAAGCCGGGCGCGGTGGCTCACACCTGTAATCCCAGCACTTATCACCTGAGGTCAGGAGTTGGCGACCAGCCTGACCGCAATGGTGAAACCCCGTCTCTACTAAAAATACAAAAATTAGCCAGGCGTGATATCCTGCGCCTGTAATCCAGCTACTCGGGAGGCTGAGGCAGGAGAATCATTTAAACCCGGGAGGCGTAGGTTGCAGTGAGTCAAGATAACGCCACTGCACTCCACCCTGTGCCACAGAGCAAGACTGTCTCAAAAAAAAAAAAAAAAGCCCTCGGGCCTGAAACTGAAATTATTAGTCCTACAGTTTAACCTAACAGTGTATTAAAATAGTCACGTGGCCTGGCCACACTGTCTTATCAAGTGGCACAGCTTTTACGCGGAAATTTTACAGCCTTAATAAATGAATTACAAAAGCATTTTTCCCTGTTATATCAATTCCGGGACACAATCCGACAGAAAAGGGATGGAAGGAGTGTGGCGAGTGCTATTGATTGACGTGCATTCCAACTAACCTACAACGCATGAAGAGCGCGCGCGAGCAAGCCTGTGTCCAATTACTACTCAGCGGCAGTGGTGGGGGCGGGGCTTGTGGAAACGGCCCGCCGCAGGGTTTGCAGTCTTGAGAAGCAGCGAATATGGCGGAGTGAGGTGTTCCGCTGTGAACTGGCCTCTGGGCCGGGGGTAGGCCAGTCCGGCCAGCCCCCGGGAGGCCGAGTGCATCTGTTGGACCGTGCGAGGTGAGCCGAAAAGGCCAGTGACTGGGGGGATGAGCAGGTGGCGAGGAGGTGTCGTGGCCTAGCTGTATGCCGGTGACAGAATCTCACAGAAACCTGGGAGCTGCAGGCAGCCGGTCTCAGCCTCGGCCGGGCGGGGATTCCAACCTCAGGGGCCCCAGGGCGGCCCGCACCCGTCTTTTGGGTGTGTCGCACGGCCCACACTCTCCTCAGCCCCGCTGGGTTCTTCCCAGTGCCGTGCCGTTAAGCTGCCTTTGTGTTTTCTGCTTGCATCTACGCGGGTCTATACCTGGCAGTCGCTGCATCCACCATCTACTTATTTTTCGAAGAATATCTTTGTTTTATTAATTTACTTACACTCCTCGCCTCAAGACTTTGTGCCCCCTCTTTTGCCACTGGCTGCGGTATCATTTGAGGCCTGTTGTGGCCTGAGTATTTTGTGTCCCTAGCTCGTTGACCTTGAGACTTGTAAGAGGTTCCCCTTGGGAACTGCATTCCAGTGTGTGTATCGCGGACATCTTCGTGCAACTTATACTAAATCCATTCGGTCCCACTCCCACCTCCCAAACTTTTACGATCTGAGTAAGCAGTTCTGGCATTGATGTCCTGATAATGTTCTAATGGCGCATTAATTTCCGCTGACGCCAGGCTCTTGACCGTTTTTGGTTTGTTTACAGTATTGTTCTTATAGAGACAGAATGAAAATCGTGTGGGGAAATGTTATTAGAACGTACTTTGTGTAAAGTGTGGGGTAGCACAGTGTCAGCACTGTGAGGCATTTGGTATTTGGTTCTCCTTTGACTTCACGGGGTGTCTCTTTTTGTAATTTGGATTGTTGTAACCCCTCATCCGGTCTCTCAGTTAAATTCTAGGAAAGTTCCTGTTTAAAACCGGGCACATTAGTTCAGTTCCGTTCCGATGGACACACCATTAGACAAATGAAAGTTTTGGGTATGCTCTTCATTGGCCCTGGATTTACTGGAGTTGAAAATAACAAATAAAGGAGGACTTCTATATGAGATCTTTTTTGTCGCTTTTGTCAGTTTATTTTTTGTGGGTTTTTTTTTTTTTGTCTCATCCAGGAGAAGAAAAAAAAAGAGATCGGCCAGAGGAAAGGAACTGAACATTCTTCCTCCCTGCCTTACCGAGGGAAGTGGTCACCTACACTAAAGCAAAGATCTAAATAGAGGTCCATAATCTACTGGAAATTTTATGCACAATTACAAATTTTTGTGGGAAGAAGAAGGTCCATAACTTCAGATTCTCAAAAAGGACAGTGTTCCAGAAAAACTTGAGAATCAGTGCTTCAAGACTTGACATCTTTTTAAAAATAATGCCAGTGCAGGTAGAGAGTAACTGCTTTCTTATTGTTCCTTTTGAATAGTTTATGATATTAGTTGTTTTTTATTTAACAATAGCTTGTTTAATTTTGTATACTAAAATTAGTAGCAACAGTGAGGGCTATATGCTTAACATTCTTTTTCTTTTCAGATTCCTTATCACGGGAAGAATATTTTCCTTGACATTTGAGTGCTTTTATATTCATCTCAAAAACAAAATTCTGAACTCAGGACTTGGCAAGTAAGTAATTGTAGGCTAATTATTCCAAATACTGTTTAAGCAGCTTGAAAACAGGTACATAGAAGTGGAACAATAAGCCCTCAGCTTCAGCAGAATATGAACATGAAAAATGACGAAGTTGTTGAAATTTAAGTTCAATCTTTTATTTTTCAACAGCAGAAATGTATTAAATAAAAAGGAACAGTCTTGATTATTAGTCCACACTACCAGCAATTTTTACTGTCTAAAGAAAAAAGACTCGTAATTAATTAGATTAAAGGAAATCAAATGATAAAAAATAGGCCGGGCTTGGTGGCTCACACCTGTAATCCCAGCATTTGGGGAGGCCGAGGTGGGCAGATCACCTGCGGTCAGGAGTTTGAGACCAGCCTGACCAACATGAGGAAACCTCATCTCTACTAAAAATACAAAAATTAAGCAGGTCTAGTGGCCCATGCCTAAACCCTAGCTACTTGGGAGGCTGAGGCAGGAAAATTGCTTGAACCCCGGAGGCAGATGTTGCAGTGAGCCAAGATCATGAAACTGCACTGCAACCTGGGCAACAGGGAGAGAGAGAGACTCTGTCTTGAACAGAAATATCATTAAAAAAAAAAAATGTAGGCGGGACACGGTAATCTCAGCACTTTGGGAGGCTGAGTGGGCGGATCACTTGAGTTCAGGAGTTCAAGACCAGCCTGGCCAACATGGTGAAACCCCGTCTCAACTAAAAAAAGTACAAAAATTAGCCAGGTGTGATAACTCGCACTGTAATCCCAGTTACTTGGGAGGCTGAGACAGGAGAATTACTTGAACCCGGGCGTTCAAGGCGGAGGTTGCAATCATTCGAGATCATGCCACTGCACTCCAGCCTGGGCAACAGAGAGACTATGTCTCAAAAAAAATAAAATATTACTAGGTGGTTTTATTTAAATAAATTTTGTGTATGTTTCAGGTATACAACCTGATGTTATGGGGTACATACAGATAGTAAAAAGGTTTCTACAGTGAAGTAAATTAGCATCCATTATGTCACATTTTTTTTTTCTTTTTGAGAGGGAGTCTTGCTCTGTCGCCTAGGCTGGAGTGCAGGGGCACATTCTTGGCTCACTGCAACCTCCGCCTCCCAGGTTCAAGTGATTCTCCTGTCTCAGCCTCCCGAATAGCTGGGATTACAGGTGTGCCACCATGCCTGGCTAATTTTTTGTATTTTTAGTAGAGATGGGGTTTCACTGTGTTGGTCAGGCTGGTCTCGAACTCCTGACCTTGTGATCCACCTGCCTTGGCCTCCCAAAGTGCTGGGATTACAGGTGCGAGCCACGGCCCCCGGCCTATTCTTTTGTTTTGTTTTGTTTTCGTAGCAACAGCTGAAATCTCATTTAGCTGGGATCCTGTTTATAGTACAATTTTGTTACCTATAGTTGTCATATTGTACATTAGATCATTAGACTTGTTCATCCTACATAACTGTTCCTTTTTGTCCTCTGACCAATATCTCTTCATTTTCTAATTGATGAAGGACATCAATTTTTGTTCTCTATCTCTGTATATATATATTTTTTAAATTGCACATGTAAATGAGATAGTGCAATATTTTTCTCTTTTTTTTCTTTTTTTCCCTCCCCCTTCCCTGTGCAATATTTTTCTCTCTGTCCTCCTGACTCATCTGTGTTGTGACAAATGGCAAAATCTCTTTTCTTTTTAGACAGTCTTGCTCTGTCACCCAGACTGGAGTGCAGTGGCGCCATCTCAGCTCACTGCAACTTCTGCCTCCTTAGTTCAAGCAATTTTTGTGCCACAGCCTCCCGAGTAGCCAGGATTACAGGTGTGTGTCACCTCGCCTAGCTAATTTTTGTATTTTTTTTAGTAGAGACAGGGCTTCACCATGTTGGCCAGGCTGGTCTCATCACCCCACCCCAAAGTGCTGGGATTACAGGTATAAGCCACTGCACCTGCCAAGATCTTTCTTTTTTAGGGCTGAGTAACATATTCCATCATATATACACACTATAGTTTCTACAGTTTATTCATTTATCCATTGATGGACAGTTAGGTTATTTCTATATCTTGGCTATTGTCAATAATGCTCCATTGAACATAGGAGTGCGGACATCTTTATGAGGTGGTGATTTCATATCCTTTGGTTATATGCCCAGAAGAGGGGGTGATCGGTTATGTGGTGGTTCTATTATTAATTTCTTTAGTATTTCCATACTGTTTTCCGTAGTGACTGTTCCAATCTACACTCCACATCATGAACAGTGAACAATAGTTAATTTTTTTCTACAACCGGGCAAATTTTAGAATATCACTATTATATTTATTTAAATTTTAATTATAGGGAAATATTGATATTTTCATTTTTAATTTCTTTTTTTTTCTTCTTTTTTTGGACGGAGTTTCGCTCTGTCACCCAGACTAGAGTGCAGTGCCAGGATCTCGGCTCACTGCAACCTCCACCTCCCGGGTTCAAACGATTCTCAGCCTCTTGAATAGCTGGGATTACAGACGTGGACCTCGCCTAGCTAATTTTTGTATTTTTAGTAGAGACGGGGTTTCACCATGTTGATCAAGGCTGGTCTCAAACTCCTGACGTCATGTTCTGCTCACCTTGGCCTCTCAAAGTGCTGGGATTACAGGCGTGAACCACCACACCTGGCCTCCCCCCTCCCTTTTTTTTTTTTTTTTTTAAGAGATGGGGTCTTGCTGTATTGCCCAGGCTGGTCTTGAACTCCTGGGCTCAAGCAGTTCTCCCACCTCGGCCTCCCAAAGTGTTGAGATTATAGGCATGAGTCACCGTGCTTGACCTTTATCTTTAATTTCTGAAACTTTAAGTACACTTTTAATAATTCTTGGTATATGGCTATTTGGTGCCAAGGGTTGTTGAGATCTTACGAATTTACCACAAGGGTAAACTAGGTTCTGTTACTCAAGAAGCAAAAGATGATACGTCCTTAACTGACAATAACATTATATCTGCAAAATAGGCTTCATACCAACTGTGGTAGTTTTAGTCTCCTAGGCCTGCTGTAACAAAGCACCACAAACTAGGTAGCTTAGAGTAACAGAAATTGTTTCATAGTTCTTTTTTTTTTTTTTGAGATGGGGTATCACTTGGCTCACTGCAACCTCCGCCTCCTGGGTTCAAGCGATTCTCCTGCCTCAGCCTCCGGAGTAGCTGGGACTACAGGTGCGTGCCACCACACCTGGGGTTTCACCATGTTGGTCAGGCTTGGTCTCAAACTCCTGACCTCATGATCTGCCCACCTCAGCCTCCCAAAGTGCTGGGATTACAGGCATGAGCCACCGCACCAGCCTCCCCCAGCTTTTGTAAGAACACCAGTCATATTGGATTGGGGTCCACCCTGCTCTGTTATGACCTCATCTTAGCTGCTGAGATCTGCAATGACCTTATTACCAAATAAGGTCACAGTATGAGGTAGTAGGGGCTATGAATTTTAACATCTGAGTATTGGGAGGACACAATTCAACCTAGAACACCTACTTAGACTTTGATTGTATTATATGAAGAGCATTCAATGTACAAATGCTTTGAGGCTGAAAATCTTGTATGTAGTCCCAGCTACACTCTGAGGTAGTAGGATTGCTTGAGGCCAGAAGTTCAAGGCTGCAGTACACTGTTTATGCCTATGAATAGCCACTGCACTCCAGCTTGGGCAACATCAGGATCATAGAGACAGAAAGTAGAATGATGGTTGCCACGGGGTGCAGGAAGGGAAGGGAAAGGGAATTACTGTGTAATGTATACAAGGCTTCAGTTTGGGAAGAAGAAATGAATCCTGGAGATGGATTATCATGATGGTTGCACAGCAGTATGAATGTACTTAATACTACTGAATTGTATTCTTGAAAAGGGTTAATATGGTAAATATATGTGTATTTTAGAGCAATAAAAAATTGAAAAATATAAAACCACCTTTGTATGTATATGTATATATGTGTGTGTATGTATATATATGTTATATGAAAACTATTCAGTGTACCTTTGCCTCCTGGGCTCAAGCTATCCTCCCCCACAGCCTCCTGGGTAATCATGACTATAGGTACCTGCCACCACACACGCTAATTTTTAGTTTTTTGTGCAGACAAAATTCTCAGTATATTGCCAGGCTAGTCTCAAACTCTTCCGAAGCAGTTCTCCCCACCTCACCCTCACAGAGTGCTGGGATTATAGGTGTGAGCCACTGTGCCGAGACAGCCACCCTCAGATGGGCTAGTTATATCCTGCAGTTCATGACACAGACACATACATACCTGTGTTAAGAGTATATAAAGTTGCATAGTTACGTCAGATATGAAATTTGGCATTTTGAAGAGCATACAAACATGATTTGCTAGGGTTATTGCCTAATATTAAGATACAGATTGTTTGGGCCTGAGATTGTGAAAGTATTTTGGGTTTTTCTAAAAAAGTAAATAATTTAAAAAAATATAGATTGTTTGGGGGACAAAGTTTATATATGTTCAAGGTGTGTCCCCCACACCCCAAAACGCAGGCTGGAGTGCAGTGACGCAATCTTGGCTCACTGCAACCTCTGCCTCCTGGGTTCAAGCAATTCTCCTGTCTCAGCCTCCCCAGTAGCTGGGATTACAGACATGTGCTACCACTCCCGGCTAATTTTTGTATTTGTAGTAGAGATGGGGTTTCACTTTGTTGGCCAAGCTTGTCTCGAACTCCTGACTTCAGGTGATCCACCTGCCCTGGCCTCTCAAAGTGCTGGGATTACAGGCTCCACTGTACCCGGACAAGGTGTGCATTCTTTTACTTGTGTTTTTTGGGTTTTTTTTTGGAGACACAGTCTCACGCTGTTGCCCCTCTGGAGGGCTATGGCGCTATCACGGCTCATGGCAACCTCTACCTCTTAGGTTTCAAGTCAACTTCTATAATGAAGTAGCCCTGCTGCTCATAGTGTTCTAAAGGTATACTTGTGGATCTTTATTTTCCTCTTCTATGCTGCTTTTACAACAGGTACAAATTCTTCCTCCTGATTTGATTCTGAATTAATATATATTTGGCTTTCCCAGGCTTTGAATAAGAACTCTATCTTCAACCTGCTGGGTCTGGTGGCTCAATGCCTGTAATCCCAGCACTTTGGGAGGCTGAGGCAGGCGGATCACCTGAGGTCAGGAGTTTGAGACTAGTCTGACCAACATGGAGAAACCCCATGTCTACTGAAGATACAAAATTAGCCAGGTGTGGTGGTGCAGGCCTGTAATACCAGCTACTCTGGAGACTGAGGCAGGAGAATCACTTGAACCCGAGAGGCGGATGTTGTGGTGAGCTGTGATTGTGCCATCCTGGGCAACGAGCAAAACTCCATCTCAAAAAAAAAAAGAACCCTATCTTTGACCAGGAGAGGTTATTTAGGTTCAATTTAGAGTTGAGGTATTTTTTTAATGTTTGTAAACTAAAATAATTTAAGCCTTTGACCTGCATTTGTGATGTATTTATTATTGTAGAGCATACATAACAAAACTCTTTTAACCATTTTATAGTATAAAATTTATTGACATTAAGTATGTTCCACATTGTTGTATTGTAACTATTACCATTATCCCTAGAATTTTTTCATCATCTTAAATAAACTCAGTACTTATTAATCTCCCTCCTACAGCCCCTGGTAACCTCTCCACTATCTCTGTGAATTTGACTATTGTCAGTATCTCATATAAGTGGAATTATTCAATATTTACCCTTTTGTGTCTAACTTCTTTTTGCAAATTTAACAGTTTTTACAATGAACTTGATTTGGTGGTTTTGTGTGTGTGTGTGTTTTTGTTTTTTTGAGGCGGAGTCTCTCTCTTTGTCACCCAGGCTGGAGTGCAGTGGTGCTATCTTCACTCACTGCAACCTCTGCCTCTCAGGTTCAAGTGATTCTGCCTCAGCCTCCTGAGTAGCTGGGATTACAGGCATCCACCACCACACCTGGCTAATTTTTTTTTTTTTGCATTTTTAATAGAGACAGGGTTTCACCATATTGGCCAGGCTGGTCTCAAACTCTGGACCTCAGGTGATCTGCCTGCCTCAGCCTCCCAAACTTCTGGGATTACAGGCATGAGCCACTGCACCCGGCCTTGATTTAGTTTTTACATGTTTGCAGTTGGTGATAATGGAATAGTATATATTTTACTTACAGTTATATTTTATAAAGTATCGTCTATTGTTGGTAGTTGAAGGTGATTCAGAGTAAGATACATATGGTTTTGAGTATTAGGTATTTAAACATCAAATTTGGAGTACAGTGCTACTTTATTTTTGTTTCTTTTTTTTTTTGAGACAGAGTTTCGCTCTTGTTACCCAGGCTGGAGTGCAATGGCGCAATCTCGGCTCACAGCAACCTCCGCCTCCTGGGTTCAGGCAATTCTCCTGCCTCAGCCTCCTCAGTAGCTGGGATTACAGGCACGCGCCACCATGCCCAGCTAATTTTTTGTAGTTTTAGTAGAGACGGGGTTTCACCATGTTGACCAGGATGGTCTCGATCTCTTGACCTCGTGATCTACCCGCCTCGACCTCCCAAAGTGCTGGGATTATAGGCGTGAGCCACCGCGCCCGGCCTCTTTTTTCTTTTGATAAGAGCTGCAAGCAAAGATATAGTGCTACCTTGTTTTTTATTTTTGGAGACAGTCTTACTCTGCTGCCCCAGGCTTAGTGCAGTGGTGCAGTCGTGGCTCAAGCTGTCCTTCAGCTTCAGCCTCCAAGTAGCAAGGACCACAAGAGGGCGCCACCACATCCAGCTAATTTTTTATTTTTTGTAGAGTGGGGTCTTGCTGCGTTGCCCAGGCTGGTCTCCCAACTCCTAGGCTCAAGGGATCCTCCTGCTTCAGCCTCCCAAAGTGCTGGGATTACAGATGTGAGCCACTGCATCTGGCTTAGTGCTACTTTTAAACACAAATGTGGCCAGACACAGCAGCTTATGCCTGTAATCCCAGTACTTTGGGAGACTGAGGCGGGTGAATCACTTGAGCTCAGGAGTTTCAAAGCAGCCTGGCCAACATGGTGAAACCCTCTTTCTTCTACTAGAAATACAAAAATTAGTTGGGTGTGATGGTGCACGCCTGTAATCCTAGCTACTCAGGAGGCTAAGGCAGGAGAATCGCTTGTACCCAGGGTGCGGACGTTGTAGTGAGTTGACAGAACTCCACTGTACTCCAGCCTGGATGACACAGCAAGACTCTGTCTCAAAAAAAAAAAAAAATGTTTTATATGTAAATAAGCTTTTTTTCTATCATGCTTGTATAAATCCAGCTTTTTTTCGGTATCATATTTGTATTTTTTTTTCTGGGTGTTACTGCCTTGCTAATGACAGTACTGAATTTGGTGTTACAGTTGGTCACTTTCTTTTAGATAATACATAATCCAAAATATTCTTTTCTTTCTTTCTTTTCTTTTCTTTTCTTCTTTCTTTTTTTATTTTTATTTTTTTGAGCTGGATTCTTGCTCTGTTGCCCAGGCTGGAGTACAGTGATGGAATCTTGGCTAACTGCAGCCTCCACCTCCTGGGTTCAGGCGATTCTCCTGCCTTGGCCTCCTGAGTAGCTGGAACCATAAGTGCCTGCCACATGCCTGGCTAATTTTTGTATTTTTAGTAGAGATGGGGTTTCACCATGTTGGTCACTTTTTCTTTTTTTTTTTTTTTTTTTTTGAACTGGAGTCCCTCTTTGTCCAGGCTGGAGTGCAGTGGCTCAATCTTGGCTCACTGCAACCTCCGCCTCCCAAGTTAAAGTGATTCTTCTGCCTCAGCCTCCTGAGGAGCTGGGACTACAGGTGTGTACCACCACTCCCAGCTAATTTTTTTTTTTTTTTTTTTTTTTTTTTTTAAGACGGAGTTTCACTCATGTTACCCAGGCTGGAGTGCAATGGCTCGATCTCGGCTCACCGCAACCTCCGCCTCCTGGGTTCAGGCAATTCTCCTGCCTCAGCCTCCTGAGTAGCTGGGATTACAGGCACGTGCCACCATGCCCAGCTGATTTTTTGTATTTTTTTAGTAGAGACGGGGTTTCACCATGTTGACCAGGATGGTCTCGATCTCTTGACCTCGTGATCCACCCGCCTCGGCCTCCCAAAGTGCTGGGATTATAGGCTTGAGCCACCACGCCCGGCCCCAGCTAATTTTTGTATTTTTAGTAGTGACAGGGTTTTACCATGTTGGCCAGGCTGGTCTCGATCTCCTGACCTTGTGATCCATCCACCTTGGCCTTTCAAGGTGCTGGGATTACAGGCCTGAGCCACCGTGCCCAGCCTACTCTTTTATGTTTTAGATACTGTTTTTGAATCAGCTCATGCAGAAGTACCTGTACTAATGTTCCTGTTTTTATTTTGTATTTCTAGGTGTCTCTACGTTGTCTCCTAGACTGTGTAGTTCTACTTCTTTTACCCAGTTACTTTCTCTGTTTTTAAAATGTGGATATCACTTCTCTATACATTATCTCCATGATTTGGAATGAAAAAGTCTGCTTTTTTTTTGTTCTGCCTCTCAGACTGAACACAGAGGAGCTCCTAGGATTCCAGTTATCCTGCCAACTTCTCCACGAAGAAAGAAGAAACTCACCTAGGTGTTCTATTTGCTTAATTACAAAGACATCATTTTGCAAGCTGAAGGCTGAGTTTCATTTGAAACAGGTCTCCTTAGGTGGTGGTATTTGTGAATACTTTTCGTTACGAACAAGAAGACTAAATAAATAGCAAGTATGGATGACTTCAGGGTTTAAAAACAAAAATGTCTTCCAATTTCAGCCACTATCCTGATAAGCACAGTTGAGACTGCAGCAGTAAATTCCAAATACGCATTTCTAATTTGACATGAAAGATAGTAAAAAATTACATATATTTATATATTTAAATCCTGGCTCATCCTGTGACATAGATTTACTGAGTAAGAACAAAGACGAAATTTTATACAAAAACCTGGGCCAAGCATGGTGGCTCATGCCATAATCCCAACACTTTGGGAGGCCGAGGTGGGCGGATCACCTGAGGTTGGGAGTTCGAGACCAGCCTGACCAACATGGAGAAACCTCATCTTTACTAAAAATACAAAATTAGCTAGGCATGGTGGTGCATGTCTGTAATCCCAGCTACTCTGGAGGTTGAGGCAGGAGAATTGCTTGAACCTGGGAGGTGGAGGTTGCAGTGAGCCGAGATTGTGCCACTGCATTCCAGCCTGGGCAACAGAGTGAGACTATCTCAAACAAATGAAGAAAAAAAAACAACTTTGGACATAGAGGAGTCGCAGGTGGGATGGGAGGATGAGAGAATTTTTCATATAACTCCTTTTCCCTAAGAAAAGCAAAAATGCCTCATGCAGTGCCATCTGACTTTATGGTGTTTCGTATTATATATTCATTGTTTTCCTTCAACCCAAGGTGGATACTTGGATGTTTGATTGCTTTTTTTTTTTTTTTTTTTTTTTTTTTTTTTTTTTTT